CAGCAAGAACATAATCAATACATGATAGACATTATTAGATCTCATCGTTGCCTGTGGGACCCAAGGGACAATAGGTACAGTAAACAAAAAAAATGAAGAGGAGGGCATACAACACCACCTTTGTTTACATTTGACGAGCACGAAAAGATTGGTGCTCTGGTTCCCTATGCGTGTGTGACGGACGCGCTCAGAAGATTGATAATTTTTAGAAAACAGATGCAGTAAAATGATGGAAAAAGTGTTAGTGTGACGCAGCCTGAAGTCTTTGTTGGTGCGTGGTCTGTAACACCGATTGATCTATGTTTTCGTGCTGTCTGTAACGTTTTAAATGTCTACTGCAGCGAGGTGAGAATTGCGGGACTCACTGCCTGTGTTATTATACCCAATAAATTATATTCATATAACCCCCACCCCCCTGTACAATAATAGTAATAGAAGGTCTGAGGATTTTTTTTTAATCTTTTATTCTTTTATATGCCGGTTTGAAAGAGTTACCGCCTGTCACACATTACTGCCCACGAGGATCTGCAACCTCTTCAGCCTAGCATGGAGAACGTGTTCATGGTCTCAAGCTGGCCTTATTACAGCCTTTGGCGATGCATGTGATATCGGATTTAATGAAAGCCTGTTGGACGCGGTGTAGAAAGTTACAAAATATAAAACTAACAATTACAAATGTGACGTACAATCTCATCTAAGATAATTACAAAGCTCTCCTGGTGCATTTGAGCATAAAAAGAAACATTGTTTACATCGACGGCAACGAAACTATGACATCGAAGTGTAACTAAGTTATCACAACTTTTTGTTTGTAAGCTTTTTTTTATATCAGAGTCTGAGGAAGATAACAGACTTAATAACCTAGATTCCTCCATAAGTTGTTGTTATGTATGGAATAAACGCTGAACTAATAGATCTAGAGTTACACTATGATTAAGTCTTTGTTTGGGATGGGGAGATTAATGCCACGTGTAGCCAGTATGCCACATGGGATATACGGCACCAGCAAACCACTTCCAATTTTCAGTAAACAAACACGATGCATTTATTTACTTTATAGCTCTTTTGTTAATAACCTCCCTGCCTGCCCCATCATCTTTCTCTCCAGTTCACCCCCTATAAAATGCATTAAATAGCCCCTCACCGATCAAATTAAAAATCTACGACCTACATCGTTTTGTAAGCCATGTTAAAGCCTTGAGTCTTGCTTATCTATAAGACCATGAATATTAGGGTGTGCAAGTGAAATGGGAGGAGACGGGACCCGGGGAGCAAAATCCTGGGTCCAGGCGCTTCCCGTAATTCTGGGCCCAGCTTCTCGTATGGAACCCCCCCCCTGCAATGAATATTATTTTTCCCTTTGCAAGACACCAATTTTTTTCTTCTTTTCATGTTCTCCGTGTTCAATCATAGCTTCCATACATTGTGGCCTAGCCCTAGGGCTAGGCTATGTAATAAATTTGTATCACTATCCGCGACGGAAAACGTTTCATGTATCACAGTATCACTGCTGTACTGATATATTTGCAGAAAAGTTTAAAGGGTTCTCTCGATATAATTTGTCCAAACGTATCACTTAGCCATCTATTTATCGTTCAGAACATTTCTCGTAATAAGTGGCAACGTTTGCGGTCCAGTGTTTTCCACCAATCGGCTTCCGAATATCAATGATTTTTTTTAATTATGTCATTAATAACCAAACACAGTTTTAGATAACTCAGCCGAGAGACGTGACGTAACTTCTTAAAAATGTCACATGGGGATGTTAATCATTATGCAGCATTATTATGTGTGGAAAATATGTGCTTGAGCTCAGGCTCCCAAGGGGCACGAGAACCAGTGATTTACACCAGTAGAGCACCTCCATGATGGAGGGAGGGGTTCGTCATCATGGTCGGGGTGCGTGGCCGCGTTGCCCTTTCACTCCGGAGGCCAGGATCCGTCAGTGAACGTTGGGTAAAGTTAAGGAGAGGGCGTTAATCTGAAAATCTAACACAAGCCTTTTCAGCGACACCAAAGTCAGTTTGACTGTGAATTGGGACAGTTTAAGGGTGAAGTGATGGTGTGAGGGGGATACCGGGAAGGTTTCATCCCATTTGGACGATTCCCACTTTGACGATCGTCTGTTATATGCGATTTTTAACATCTTAATTAAATGACCAGGTTAGGTTACGTTACGTTAAATCGCATAAAACAAACGATCGTCCAAGTGGGAATTGTCTAAGTAGGATGTAATCATCGAGAATAGAGATGAAGGGCCAGCAACGGCTGATGGTGATAGAGTAAAGGGTCCAAGGATGTGAGCCCACCACCTTGAAATTCAGGGGTTGTTTGTATATCGACGTCACCATTATACTGTAGTACTCGGTAGTCCCGGGAATGTGAGATTAAGCTTTCGTTCATCCGGTATTGTGACGTGGACACAACACGAACTCCAAATAAGCATAGACCCAAAATACAAAATCAAGAAATTAAAATTTGAAGAAACAAAATACAAAAATGTAAAGTTCAAACGCACGCCTCACTAAACAAAATACAATATACCTGTACTGTACACACTGACCTATAGAAACTCCTTCCATATAATTGTAGGAGACGTGAACCATTTTTCCTCATCTATAGTTAATATAAAATCCTTACTGACAATAAGAAACACCAATACAAAAACACCTTATTTTCTTTCCATTATCAGTAACATCTGAAAACACACATGGTAACAAATTCCTTGGGCAGCGTCCGCCACCACTACCCCCATCTATAAGTTCCCTATCGTCTGAGTGTTATGCTGTAAAAGTATGAGGCCCTGTGCAGTAACCATCAAAATCGTGTAAAAAAAACGAATTTGAGCTTACAATCATGAAAATGTGCTGTAGTCACTACAGCATTAAATAAAAATTGGAACATCATCAGATGTAATTTATGGGCCAGCAAAGATTGGCCTTTGTTTAAAAATAAAACTACTAAGTTATGTACAATAAATTCAATTGTCAAAACCGACACAGGTGCATATTACAACATAAAACACATTCATTACGTGAAATATATGTAATTTATCGAATATAAATTGTGTATACATACATTGCATTAGATTGATCGTTGTAGAAGTTATTCATGTGCAGTGCTTAGAGTTTATTTTCTATGATAAAGGAGCTATGCTTATTTCAATAACTGAAGGGAAATAATACTGTGCTTCTAAAATGTCAAGTTCAGTGTCAAAATACAGTACAATATTGTGATGTAAAAATGTTGTGCATCAACTAAGGTCGTTAAGTACTGTACGTGTTCTATTGATGTATTGTTCAGTACTTCACTAGACAACAAAATTATTAATAAAGAAACTGCATTAATTGAGACCGAATGTGAAAAGGACTTGGGTTTGTATGTTGACAATGAACTTAAGTTATCGAGCCATTGTGAGAAGGTGAATCAAGCAACGAAACTATAATTATAGTAGGTGTTATAAGGTCGTTCAGATATCTAGATGGTCTGTTCCTCGCGTAACAGTAACGATCTTCAAGAGTGAGGTACTTCTCCGTCTGGTCCGTCAGCTACCCAGAGAGATTAGAACGCCTGCAACTGCCTAACATACAACAGACCGGCAAGGGGTGACCTAATTGAAGTGTATAAACATCCCAGAGGGCACTACTCAGTCGAGTGTAGTACATAACTGGAGTGGAGCTAGCGGACGTTCCCCCCACAAGGGGTCACACGACTCACACCTGTCCGACTAATTACCCAAATGTACCCAAATATAGCCGCAATGAAGTCAAATAATGGTCCTACATGAATAAATCGGACTACTAATCACTTCTCGACTAGTATTTGGTGTCAGAAAGTCACAAAAAATTGGAAAACTTACTTTAATCTGAGTTAATAGATCGCGTGCATGTACCGAGGGAGCGAGGAATTACCCAAATGTACCCAAATGTAGCCGCAATGAAGTCAAATGATGGTCGTACAAGCGTAATTCGGGCTGTGAATCACTTCTCGATTATTATTTGGTGTCATAAAGTAAAAAAAAATGGTAAACTTAATTTAATCTGAGTTGTGTTGTGTTAGGTTAGATTAGGTTAGGTTAGGTACATGCACTTGATCTATTAACTCAAATTAAATTAAGTTTACCAATTTTTTGTGACTTCGTGACACCAAATACTAGTCGAGGTTAGGTTAGGTTAGGTACATGCACTCGATCTATTAACTCAGATTAAATTAAGTTTACCAATTTTTTGTGACTTTGTGACACCAAATACTCGTCGAGAAGTGATTGGCAGTCCGATTTATTCATCTAGGACCATTATTTGACTTCATTCCGGCTATATTTGGCTACATTTGGGTAATTAGTCGGACCCGAGAATTGTGAAAACTTGGAACATTCTGCCAGTGTGTGTTGTGACGGCACCGAGTGTGAGCTCTTTCAAGACCAGACATAACCAAGGAACAGGAGCAGAACTTCAGATACATTCAGGAGCCGATGCATGCCTGTTCGTAAGAGACGTAACCGACCGCCCAAGCGGCTAACGAGCCGATCACTGGCGAAGACGAATTAGACGATAAAAGAAAAAGTTTTGTGTATGTTTTTTATGTGAATATTTTTTTTCGAAAATTTCTCATGGGTAAGGGATATTAAATTTATCAAATTTGTCACCAAAGACATTTTAATATCCCCAGGACTAGAAAGAAATTTAACTATCAATTCATTATTGGAAAGAATGAGTGGAAGTGAAAGAGTTATGTGTAGATGAAGAATTGAATTATGGGAATAGAAGGGGGGATTTCAGTGTAGGGAATGAGGTAAGGGGAATTACTGGCCTCAGGAGAGTGTGTTTGGTATACGTGTGTGTGTCAGGATAGGATCAGCACGTTTACATTCTTCATAAAGTATCGGTAATCTGCATCAGATTTATTTTGTATTTATGATACAAACTGTTTCCTAATATAAATTAAGCAAACATATTGTTCAGATCAGAATGCTGAACTGTGATTTTTATTTTATATTGCAGACACCGGAGAGCAGATCTCATAATGAGGTTACAGGCAGCAGTGCTGCAGCATGGTCAGGGTGATACAACTCCTAGCCGCTTCTACAGTCGTGTTCTGTTTCATCATCTTCACACTTTATAGAAATAACAGCTTCGCCAGTCTTTCTGGTATGAAAAATTAAAACATTCTTTCATATTCAGTGTAGTACACTGCCGTTTCCTTACTATGAACTTTCAGACAAACACATTATTATAGTATTGTACAGTGTTCTAATGTAAATTTTCTCTGGTCCTCCCTTAGGTAAATGGGTTAATATTCATTTTTAGCCCAATAGGTATCACGGATTTTTTTTATCATTATCACTATGATTCTTTTTTCGATTAGGCTAGGTTTGGTTAATTAAAAACACTAAAATACACTAGAAAAGTAATATACCAAATGGGGAGATTGGGGTAAAAACGAATTTTTACCGGTAAATGTTATTTACTGTACTGTAGTTTCTATATTACATCTTATCTGTGATTGTTGTGTTGAGAGAATATCATGCAGGGCAGAGAAGCAATTGAGGTGCACCAGAGAGGGACAGAGTGAGTTGTACTTTTAACAATTTCTATAAAGAACAGCGCGAAAGTTGACACTTCATTATTCATGAACTAGTAACATTAACAAATTATGGTTGGAATTAGAAAAGTATTTGAGAGAAATATTTTCGACCTAAATTACTTAATTATACACTATTGGAAATGTACAAAAAGTGAATTAACAAAACACACACATGTTGCAGATCACAGCCAGCTACCTGACCCAAGACTGATCATAGACTCACAAGATCAAAATGAGGTTGATGGTGTGGGAATTTTGGAGGTGAGTACTGTACTGTAGTGTCTATGATTATTACAAGTTAAGAATCACCTGAAGATTAGACACCCTAGTTTATTTCATGTGATAATTAAACACCTTAACCTGGCCAAACCTCACCCCTCCAGGTAGCTGAGATGCCTAATCTTCAGGTGATCCCAAGTGTAAGTTGTATTTTTCTCTTATATTAACCGATAAGAGGTGAAACTTGCTGCCTATCCTTGGTCAAATTGCCACACTGTTTACTGTTGTTTGTACTATATACCCTTTCTGTCTAGGTACAGTACTAGTGTATATTGAAAATTGTGTACTGTATATGTATTGTTTTTATGCATGCTGAGTTGTATACTGTACTGCATTGTCTTTATACATGCTGAACTGTATACTGTACTGTGCATGCAATGTTTATACAATATACTGTACTGTATGTGCTGAAATAATTATACATACAGTACAGTACAGTACAGTACCAGGTACTGTATTATAGTAATAAAATGAACATGCAATTGCAGGAACTTGGAGTTGAGTTTCTGCCCAATTTCAAGAATCCTTGTTGGTATGAACTTAAAGATTTTCGCAGCAAAGAGGGAAATAGAGCAAACTTTTATTTTTCTTTAGCAAGATCGTCCTTTCATTCAAAGTAAGTGTTATTAAAAAAGTCTGTTTATGTGTTCTCATTGGTTTTCACATAACTGTATATTATTAGGCTTGAAATTAAAATGCTTACAAACAAATAAGTACAGTATAACAGGTTTGTGAATGTGTGAAAAAGCTGCATGAATTTTTAATGTACAGTATACCATAATAGAAAGCATTTACCCTATTGAATTACAGTACAGTATTCTAATTTTTGTTATCAATGCATGTTTGTTTGTGTTTTCTATCATGAAACAACCCCTGATAATTCATCAAAAAAAAATGGCAAAGAGTTCAGGGACAAACTGAAAGAGTTACACAGCTACCCACAATATGTAGAGGCTTGTAGTGGACTTCTCCCTACAACTGCGTAGCCACAGCCACCAGCTGCTACCGCCTTCCCTAGCAGCCAAACGAGCGGCGTCACCAGATGCGCCGCAGTATCCTAGCAACGGAACCAAAGACCGGCGACTTTCTCGGGTTTTCCCAACATGACTCATAGATGACTCACGGCTGCTGGGTATATAAGCTCTGTCTCTCCATTGAGATTCATTCTGGCCTCTCTTCTACAACACGCAACACCTCCTCCTCCGCCGCTGCCTGGCGGCCCTCGCCTCTCCTCCGCCTGCCTGGCGGTCCTCGCTCCCGCCAGCGAGCATGGCGACCCACCAGCTGTCCTTCTCTGAGCTTCCTCACCAACCAGCTCTCATTCTGCCATCTTCCTGAACACGCAACACCTCCTCCAGCAAGCTCCACGCTGTCCAGCATTCATTCAACCAGGAGGCCAGCAACAGGCAACATCTTCTCTAACGAAGCTCCTGCACATCTACCTCCTTCAACACGCTACTCACCGAACGTCTCTACTGAGCAGCTCCTCACCACACGGCACCTCCAGCACCAGACTGTCTATCATATAACTTATATTATACAAGAAAACCACCTTAGAGTTTCCATCCATCCTGAGTGCTAGACAACATTATATCCACGAACCCTACAAATGGTGACTCCCGGAGATTAGCACTCACACAGGATGGAGGAGACACTGATCACGCTCCCAGTCTTCAAGCAGCATGGAAGAATGGCTTATCCACACAGAAGCAGCTCTGCTACTCTAAGCAGACACCAGCTCCTCTTCCTGCCCCAAGCACCACATCCTACCGACCCCAGCACACCCGTCCTGCCTCAGACGCCGACCCCGGCCCAGCAGTAACCCCTGCCGCCCCTGACGCGGCCTCTGTTCCTGAGTGCGGACCCACACACACACCCCTCTTTTCTCCCTCAGGTACTCCCTGCTAATGTCCTGCACCCTGCTGCTGTCGTGGACCCAGCTGCTGTCACGAGCCCTAATCCGCTTCTGCTGACGCAGCCCCTGCTCCTGACCCAGGCCCACACACACCCCAGCAGGCGCATCTGACTACCCTGTACCTGTCATGAGGGAAGCACAACATTCATCGCCTCCACACACCCTTTTTCTCCCTTCTCCCACAGATAGTGTGTATCTAGACAGTTGTATTTCAGCGATCGGCTCATTCACGCCATCGCCGTTGTCTCACATGAGGCATGCACCGCCCGGTCTGCCTCACATGTGCTAAGCAACTCTACAGACAACAAGTCTCCTACACCGCCTGGAGGGAAGGGGGAGTATTGTAGTGGACGTCTCCCCTACAACTGCCTACAACTGCGTAGCCACAGCCACCAGCTGCTACCGCCTTCCCTAGCAACTAAACTAGCGGCGTCACCAGATGCGCCGCAGTATCCTAGCAACCGAGCCAAAGACCGGTTACTTCTCGGGTTTTCCCAACATGACTCATAGATGACTCACGGCTGCTGGGTATATAAGCTCTGTCTCTCCATTGAGATTCATTCTGGCCTCTCTTCTTGAACAAGCAACACCTCCTCCTCCGCCGCTGCCTGGCGGCCCTCGCTTCTCCTCCGCCTGCCTGGCGGTCCTCGCTCCCGCCAGCGAGCATGGCGACCCACCAGCTGTCCTTCTCTGAGCTTCCTCACCAACCAGCTCTCATTCTGCCCATCTTCCTGAACACGCAACACCTCCTCCAGCAAGCTCCACGCTGTCCAGCATTCATTCAACCAGGAGGCCAGCAACAGGCAACATCTTCTCTAACGAAGCTCCTGCACATCTACCTCCTTCAACACGCTACTCACCGAACGTCTCCACTGAGCAGCTCCTCACCACACGGCACCTCCAGCACCAGACTGTCTATCATATAACTTATATTATACAAGAAAACCACCTTAGAGTTTCCATCCATCCTGAGTGCTAGACAACATTATACCACGAATTCCTACAGGCTCATCTGAAGATCAGAAGGGTACAAGAAGAGGAGGATGTTGAAGTAGTGTAGTGTACCAGCCCTCCAACTAATGAGGGCAAGTGGCAAACCAACTGTAAATAATGTTAACAAAGTGGTCTAGAATCACAGTCTTCTAAAAGGACAGTCCTAAAAACTGGGCCAATCACGTGTTGGTACACAAATTCCAGATGCCTAGTTACTGGTAATACTGATGCATTACGCACATGTGCGAACACAGAACAACCAGACATTATTGGAATTAGTGAATCCTGGGGTCGAGATGATGTGTCGCAGGGTGAATTTTATTTGCCAGGTTATCACCCACCATTTAGAAAAGGCAAGACCACAAGATGTGGTGGGATACTACTGTATGTCAAGGAGTATCTGACTGCAACCATTAATGATGAGCTACTGTAAATGAAATGGGATCATCTGAATCTATTTAGTGTGATTTAATAACTCAAAACACGAGCAAGCTGACAGAAGGTGTGTACTATAGGACTGACTCAGGAAGTGGCAGAGCTCCGTAGAGTCATCCAGACAGCATCCAGAGCACAAGCCTTCATCATAATAGGGCAGATCTCATTGGAACATTCAAAATCTTGAAAGAGCTGGAGAACGTGAACCTGGAATATTTCTGTGTGATGTCAAACACCACCAACATGATAGGACATAACTACAAGCTCACCAAGTTATAATGCAGAACAAATATAAGGAAATAAGTTTTCACACACAGGGTATTAGACCTGTGGCATGGTCTACCAGCTCACGTTGTGGAATCAAGAACATATTGGGCTTCAAAATAGCCTTTGACAAAATTATCAAAAACAATGGAGGGATCCTACACAGGCCACTGGCCTCCTTCCCGCGACATGGCCATCTCTAATGGGTAGCCATTACGTAAATAAGGCAAACCTGTTAAGTTGGCAATGAAGTTAAAATACACATCACATCACATCTACAACGAAACAACTTTGTAAAGGATTGCCAACACGGTTTTATGCCGAGGCGCTCCTGCTTAACACAATTGCTCAACTTATTGGATATTTGGACCCATATTCTGGAATGGGGTGGTAATATCGACAATATATATACCTAGATTTTGCCAAGGCTTTCGACAGTGCACCCGATGAAAGGCTGAAAATCAAACTAGAAGGGTACGGAATTCAGGGAAATGTCCAAGCGTGGATAAAAGATTTTCTACATGACCACAAGCGGTGTGTGGTGATTAATGGCACGAAATCATCATCTGTACCTGTTACAAGCAATGTACCACAGGGCAGTGTATTGGGTCCACTGTTGTTTGTTCCTTTCATAAATGACATGCCTGACGTTGTACACCCCTCCATACAAATGTTTGCCGATGACGCCAAGTTATTTCGGGAAATAAAAAACCAAGCGGACTGTGAAGAGCTGCAGAAAGATCTCTGTGAGCTCCAAGAATGGTCGAAGAAATGGCTACTGAGATTCAATGTCACGAAGTATAAGAGGATGCACCTGGGGCGTACCAACGGTAAGGAGGCATATCATGTCCCAATGGGATGAAGAAACTGCACTATTTGAGAATGAGTGTGAGAAGGACCTATGTGTGTATGTTGACAATGAGCTGAAGTTCTTGGGCCATTGCGAGAAAAAGGTAAATCAGGCAAATAAATTATTGGGTCTTATAAGAAGGTCGTTCAAATATCTAGACTGTCCGTCCCTCGTAATGATCTTCAAGAGCGAAGTGCTTCCCCATCTGGAGTAGTGTCACCCCGTCTGGTCCCCAAGATATGCTAGGGACTGTCAGTTGGTTGAAAATGTTCAAAGGGGGGCCACCAGACTGGTGCCTTCACTTCGGCACCTCAACTGCCTTGAGAGATTGGATTGCCTGAACTTGCCTAGCTTATACTACAGACGGGCAAGGAGCGACCTAATTGAGATGTATAAGCATCTCAAGGGGCACTACTCAGTCGAGTGTCTTAACTTGGAGCTGGCAGACGCTTGCCCCACACGGGGTTACAGCTCAAGATTGAAGAAGCCTCAAGTCCAGAAAACTGTGAGGACAAACTTTTTTGGAGCGAGTTGTGAACTCTTGGGACAATCTGCCGAAAAGTGTTGTGACGGCATCGGGTGTGAGTTCTTTCAAGACCAGATTTGACCAACACTGGAGCAGGTTCAGGTACATTCAGGAGCCGGTGCATGCCCAGTACCTGCCAACAGTGCATAACGTAGAGCCAGTACATACCTAGTACTTGCCAACAGTGTTTGACAGAGACGTGATCGATTGCCCTGGTACAGTACAGCAGTAGTGTGCATATCTTTCACTGCTATGTCATGGGTTCAAGTCTTAGCCTGGGACACATGTGGAAAAGTTGTTATCCAGCGTGACACTACCAAACATCACAGGTTTCCTCTACTTTTACTTTTTTACTTTTATAGTCTTCTCCACTGATCGGCTCGTTAGCCGCTTGGCCGGTTGGTCACGTCTTTTACGCACTGTTGGCGGGTACTCTGGATTCTTCCTTTAATAACACTGGACAGTAAAGTTCATAACAAATTAACAAATAAGGGACCAGTCACCCAAAGGGCTAGTAAGCTGGTAAATGGTGAAATATTAAATTAAATACAGGTGCTGAATAATGTTGTTCAGTTATTCTTTCTTTCACTTCCTCATTTTTTCACCTTTGTTATCACATTTTATCCAAATCTTAGGTACAACATATTTTAATTTAGTCATACCTATGTAGGTACTAATATGTACAAATATCTCTGTTTCTTCATATCTTACAGAAGTCAGGGTATTCATAGTTTCTCTGAAAAAAATTTTTCTCTTCTTTTTTCAGATATCGATATAAAAAGCAATCAGATGTGATCTTGCGGTGCCTTCCATATTTTTTTCTGATAGGTCAACCCAAATGTGCAACAACTGATGTTTTCCAGAGAATTAACATTCACCCAGATGTTATAGAACCCATGGTGAAAGGACCACATTGGTGGACCAGGAGGAGATATGGTAAAATTAATTTTTGGATATAATTTATGCCAGTCAAGTGTACAGTACCGTATAGCTCCTGTATTTAATATGTTCTAGTATTGCATATAATGTACAGTTCTATATAATAGTTTATGAGATGTGTTAATTTCCTATTTGTTATCTATCCCCTTAGGACCACCTTATTCTACTCATCCAGTCACACTCACAGAATATCTAGACGTCTTCAATGCATCTAAAATAGAAGGAGAAACAATAAATTCTTTTGAGGCACCTCATAAATGGTTTCATGAGAAAATCACCGGAGATTGCAGCACTTCCACTCTCTGGGATAGCAGTGCTACTATGAGTTACCTCCATTCAGTCATGTCAGGAGATGTGCATGAATTCATCACAAGGAAATTACTTGCAAGACGGCTTGTGTCAACTTTTACATCTGTTAAAAATTCTAGTCATGCAAAAATTAATTCATCAGAAAATACAAGAGTAAATGATGTTGATGAACATCTGCAAGAATTTAAATATCCTCAGTATCATGGAACTCAAGATGGTATAGTGCTTCCCTTTACAGTGGCTGATGCTATACATTCTGTCCTTCCAAAATCTCAGATCATTGCAGTGATTCGGGAACCTGTGTCACGGTAAGATGTAACAGTACTGTATTCAGTTTTCAATATGTTCATTTCAATTCAAGGTTTAGCTTTATAAAAACCTTATCAACATTTCCTCTCTATCTCAGAAAGGTTTTATCCTTCCATTGATATACTTATCACCCAAAATTTCTTTCTAATTTATTGATTTATATAATATATTATTGTGAGCAAACAGTGATGATGTGTTTTATGTCAGTAGTATTCATTTGGACAAATGGTTGTACGTATTGTAGCAAACGAAACACAGGGTCAGAGAAACAACTTTACTCTTGACATCTCATCATGAAGGACAAGAAAGTCCTTCATGATGAGATGTGAAGAATAAAGTTTTCTATATGACCCTGTGTTTTGTTTGCTACCATACAACTAGTTTTGTCATTTCACCAATGTTTGTGGTATGTACAAATTTGTTCCTTTTTGCAGTCTGATTCAGACTTGTCATTCTGAACTCTGACTGAAACTTGCACCTTTCTGCATTCTCACCTCTAACAGTAGCTCAGCCTATTTCATTGGCTGTCCTTACATTGGTTTTTCATCCTGTATTGATGTCTTTATTTCTCTTTTAAGTCATATTTTGCATGTACAGTACAGTAATGCCTTGATTATTTGTTTACTTCTGTTTTCTACATTGGCTAAGCCATGTAACACTCCATCACTTGACTAAGTATAGCCAGTCCCAAATTTACAAATGTTTGGTTTACAAAAATCTGAAGTTATGATTTATGAAGGAAAAATCTGAAGTTGAAATTTTTTTCTCGTCATTTTCATAATTTTTCCAAAGTAATAATGAAAATATGGCAAAATAATGCAGTTTGTAGAGTATTACTCATTATATGCTTTTTATTTCACTAATTTACCTCATTACTGTCTTGATACTTGTAATGTTATTAAGTCTACAATAAGCTTTCAGTTTGTCATTATTCTCCTGCAACCCCATGTTACTGTACTTATTCCTTAAACTCTGGGAACAACTAGACTCCAGGGGTTATTTATTTTTTGGGGGGGGGGGGATTCAAATAAGCTAAAATTAATCCCCATTAGTTGGAATAATTGGTGCAGAACGGTTTTTGGATTGAGAGATTTACAGGTATGGAGACAAATTTTCATATTGTATCCCCGTAATTTTTCCCAGTACAGTACAGTAAGTCATCGTTTAATGTTGCCCCCGATAACGTTGTTTGTTATTACGTCGCTACTCTTTAGATACCGATAATTCGGTTAACGTCCCAACGACTCAATATCTCGTCTTGCCGCGCTACGCTCTCTCATCTTGGTGAGCTACCTCTCACTCGCAGAATGTCACAGCGTCCCCAAGCGTCGTCAGTCTTTGTTGGGCTTCCACAGCGTTCGTGCGTGTTTAAGTGTTTTTGCTCTTAATACTGTACAGGGTATTCTAACAATTCAAAATGGCTTCCAAGCGCCCATCAAGTGCTACTGATGCTAATGTTGTGAAGAAGCAATGTAAGACCATTAGCATTGCTACGAAAATGGAGGAGGAGCCACCCGTCGGGTCTCAATGACTTGCCGCCACCCTCCTCCTCTCATGCCCTCCTTCTCCGCTCCACTACCTCTGCCCATCAGTGAGTACAATACAAAATGCTTTAGTTTATTTATTCAGTATATATACTATTTTCTATAAAAATGCCATTGAATTTCTGTATATGTAATGTATTTCATGGGGCAAAAGGAGGCGCAGGAACGTAACTCCCGTATTTTATCTATTTCTTATGGGTAAAATTGATTCCGTTAACGTTGCGGCTTTCAGGAACGGAACCACGACATTAAGCGAGGACTTAATGTACTGGAAAAGGTTTTCCAGGGATTCCGACTAATGGAGAAATTACTGCACGTACTGTACTACTGTGTACATGGATGGGTTCCAGATGTAAACTTTGCCTCTCTCAAATAATAATAAAATGATGCGCCTGGTAGACTCACCAGCACAGTCACTCAGCCAGTTGCCTGATTGTCTGATTTCTCCACATATAATGTGTGGCAAATTGAATACAGTAAAAGAAAATATTCTGTACTGTACAGGTATTCTTAAATTTCATATGCTAATTATGTACAATGAAGATGTAGAGTTATAAGAGAAAGTGTGAATTTTGGAAGTGAGCAAAAGTTTAGAGGTGCGGATATTGGCAGTAACGCATGAGTGTGTGCGAGTGTAGTGTTAGCTGACTGATGGCAGCGTTCGCTTAAACAAAACAGCTGGAATCTAGGGGAACCTATCTCCAACTATAGAATGGAAATCAGTGTATTACTACAGTAATATATGTTTATTATACATGTTGGCTTAACATTTTATACTGTTCACTTTGTTTCAAATCTCTTCCGATTTCTCTTAAGTACAGGTATATAAATACAGGTAAAAATATATTACTGTACTGTATCGTACTGTATGCGTTTCACTTTTTATGTTTATAAGTAATTGGCTTTTAGTCATTGTGGACACCAAAAAGTAAATAAAAATAAAAACATGTTTTGTGGCATTTTAAGATGTTTTGGACTTGTTTTTTGAAGAAACTTATCAAAATTTTTATGACTACTTGTCCAAGAAAATGTGATCCGATTTATGAAAGGTATTTCAGAAACGGATCCTATATTCTACTGTACATTTCTGTATTACTGCCTTTATTTATAATTTTCTTATTATATTGGAAAAAGAATCCAATAACTGCAATAATTTATGTGGGCTAAATATGTCTTAAGAATAAAGTAGCGTTTTAGTGATATACAGCACTATACTAATAGCTGGATGTATTTTTACTTCCAGGTTATACTCAAGCTATCTTTTCTTTACCAAAAAAACAAATCTATCTCCTGAAAAGTTTGATCAGAATGTTAAGGAGTCAATACGGATGTGGCACGACTGTACCAGACAGTATTCTGACAGGACCTGTGCATACAACAAAACATTGCAAAATTGCTTGGTATGTATAAATAGTACATTCTGTGTATTTTTTCTGGTAGACAGGGAATCTTTGATTTCTTCAGGGAGTTATAACCCTGCTTTGCCATCGTTCCCAATCTGTAAAAATGGGTTGGCAACCGGGATATCATACCATCATGCAATCATGGAAATTGGCTATAAAACAGTGATGATGATGAAGATAATATACAGTCTTGTATTGGGGAATAATATGCCCTGATATTAGCAAATTCGTTATTCACAATGACTTTTAGGAATGCATCCTTTGTGATAACAGGTATTCCTGTACTCTAGTAAGTGTAGTGCCATTTGCTTGTACAGTCCTAGAAAATAAAATTACATAAGAAGAATGAGGATTGCCTTTGTATATTTACTGAACTCAAGGACGCTTTCTAATGTTGCCACAGTTTGGGAATACCTATATTACTGTATACTGTGTATACTTAACTAAATCTTATATATAATACAAAGCTTACCTTACATGTATGTTTTATAATTATTTAAATAACCAGTCTGCTTCAAATGGATTTATTTTGAAACAGTTTTTTGTAGTCATATCTACAGTATGTACAGTACTGTAAAGTAGCTAAAACAACTATCTGTGCATACTTTGTGGGAAACAATATGAGACCATGGACGATAAATTTTGGTATATGAGGGCTGTCACTAGTCACACATAAAATTTCATAGCATATCAACCCCCACCTGCACAGATAGTTGTTTTAGCTACTGTACCTGTTTATTATTAATAACGATAAAGATTTTTTTTGTCAACCATGGAAACTATTGTACTGTACTAAATTTTTATTAGGTTTTCCTACTGTATTTTGTGTTGTTTCAAGCGAATCTGACCTTCATTTCCGTCGCAAATGACCGGTTATGGAGATACAGTACGATCCCCCTCCCCCCAGTTACCAACAATATTGGTTGTTCAAGTGGGCAGGTCTTTGAAGTAGAGGGAAAATGTGGGGTACAATACTAAAAAGAACATCAAACAAACCTTTCAAAACCTTACCTAACTATTACCTAGCCTGTAAAATGGTTAAGAATCCCTCCCCATCTGAACACTGAAAACACTGCCACCATCACATACTAAACACCCAAACAAGATTAAGGTAAGGTATTATAGTTTTAGTATTTTTATAAATCTGGTAAGATTTTCAAAGGCTTGTTTGGTGTTCTTTTTAGTATTTTACCCCAGATTTTCCCTCTACAGTACTTAAAAACCCTGCCCTCTTGAACAACTAATATTGTTGGTTATTGGAGGATCATATCTCCATAACGGCTCATTTGTGACAGAAACGAAGGCCAGATTTGCTTGAAATAAAACATAATACACTTAGAAAACCCATTTTTGTTAGTAATTTCTGTGGTTGCCAAAAAACGAATCTTTACCGTAATAACTGTCAAATATCAGAATTATCACTAATTTTATGCAATGTTTTTTTGGAATTGAAAATTATAAAAAATTCTCTCTTTTTCACAGGGTGTACGTTTATACAATGGTTTATACAGTGTGTTCCTTCGTGACTGGTTGAAGGTGTTTGATCCAGAACAAGTGTTAGTAGTAAGGATGGAAGATTACCACCAAAATATTACCAACACCATTGCTACTATCTACAACCATCTTGGTTTAAGTATGTAAATATGAAATCTTTTTATTTTAATTTGTTGGATGTAATGTATTAAGAGATGTTATTGGTGTATTATATACTATACTAGCAGAAACGCCATGATAGGATGCCACCCTCCGGGAGGCTCCACATTGTCTCACTGTTCAGTCCCCAAAACTTCTTCTTCCATCAATAGTTCATTAACGGTGTGTGTAAGTTCCACCATGTTTTTCACTACAACGGTACAGCAAAGTATATTTTTTTAGCATTAAACTGTTATTATTTTATTGTCTAATCATCACTACCTACAGTATAACACCACCCATCATCACTACATATAACATCATCCATCATCACTACATATAACACCATCCATCATCACTACATATAACACCATCCATCATCACTACATATAACACCACCCATCATGACTACATATAACACCATCCATCATCACTACAGATCAATAAAGTAGTTTCCGAGATTCTCGTGTGGACACACAAACAGACAGACAGACAGACTTCTTTGTTTTATATAGATAGATAGATGAACTTGTTAATTTTTACAATTTTCAGATAAGAAATGTATTTAACACTGATTCATCGGTTTAAGTATGTACTGTACAGTTAGCAAAAACGTATCTCAATCCCTGCGGAGCGTAAAGATCTGAAACATCAGGCGACGACTTAAAACGTATTCCTGTAGTCATCATTACTTATTGGTAGTCCTGCTGCTGCTCTTGTATGGCAATGTTACTATAATTGCATTTCATGAAATTCCATACTGTTACCCTGAGTTGCAATTAAAAATATGTGTAGGCACATCGTATCTGAGGCTTGAAGATGGTAGTTACGCATAAATCTGCGTATCAGGACAAGGCGGAACCATTAAAAAAAGTGTTTTCCTCAGTGTCCACAAGAGTGGCTGCGAACAATCTTCGTGTGTTTGAGGAAAGACGGTTTGACACAGCGCTAACCTGCATTGTGTTCTCAGAAGAGGGTATAAGAAATAAATTGGCAAAGTTTAAGGTTCATAAGAGCCCTGGCCCTGACATGGTGCATCCTAGATTGCTAAGAGAGTTGAGCATTTTGCTAGCTATCGGAGAGTTCCGGGTTTGAGGGATTCCGTCTAACGGAGATATTACTGTATAACCCTCGACCTCCATGACCACGGTCGTCCTCTTAGTAAAGGAGAATACATATGCATTTAATTTTTATTTCCTACAAGGGAAATAATATCCTAATAACAGCTATTGTCATTAGCACAAATATAATTTAATGATTGAATAACACCTTAGTATACAGTATACAGTACTCTCAATTTAACGTAAGCCGATATATCCAATTTTTGATTGAGGAAGTATTTTTCCAGTATTTTTCACTCGATTTAGTGAACTTGTTTGCTAAATCGAGATTAATTCCGTTAAAGCGCTCACACCTACGGAGACACCTCAGACACTTGATATGTACATAGAAACATAGGAACATTATTCATGGCTTGCCTTAAACTATGGGGGTTTGGTGTTTGTTGTATAGATGGCCTGGCACAGGTATGGTATGACCCCCGAAAACCTGTGCCAGGCTTGAGGGGGTGATTTACTCCAGCCCAGCATCACCCTCCAGAAACACCTTGAGTACCTCTGGGGTGACTGGCTATGGAGTGGAACTGCAACTGCCAAAGAAGCTGAAGGATGGGGATAGTGGAGGAGTCGCTGACGTAGTAGCTGACGGAGTTGACAGTCCAGATGTTGAGGGTAGCGGAACATTGAGAGATGAATGGCTGCCGGTTCTTGGTCTTCTGAGGCCAGGAGCCTTAAAGAAGTCGTGTATCTTCGTCTGAACTGGAACACACAAGGCTTCTTGTTTTCTAACAACACTAGTCCTCATCTCCCTCAGAAGGTAATAAAAAGGTTGGAGATCTTTGAGTTTTGAGGTGATGAGGAAGTCAAGTAGTGCCTCGAGGGGCTGGGGGCAAGGAAACTTCAGCAGCTATCTCATCATCTGACTGGATGTGTACCCCAGGTTTCCATCATCAACCTCCAGCCACTCCTCGATCTCCTACACCTCCTTAACCTCCCCCCCCAGCACTGCAGATTACATTTCTGCAGTCTTCAACACTGAACCCCTCAAAATCTGCCCCCTCACCTTGCACCTCAAACCAGTTGGCACCAAACAAGGCATTATAGCAATGGACAAGGGTTCCCACACTGATCATATCCTAGCCTTTCTTGATGTTATGGACAACATCATACTGGTTGTAGTTCTTGTAGGCCTTCAGACCTCTCTCTCCTCTTATATCAGGCTCATCTTCAACAGGAGGGAAGCTCAACAACAAGAATGTCGTTAAGCATGAGCCGACAGTAGTGTCTTTTGAAGGAGTTGATGACACCCTAGTCCAATGGCTGGATTAAAGATCTTGTGTTTGAAGGCAAGTACTTCAGCTCTTATTTTCCCATTGATGGAGCACAAGACATCTGAGGAAGGTTGTACAGGAGCATTATCGAGGAGTAAAAGGCCTTCACATCATGATAATTTTATTTACTCCCTTTTCCTGCACTTGAAAGGACCAGGCAGCTGGGACGAAGCAGGTATCAAACCACTGCTTGGTTTATAAATGGGTATAATCCCATTGGCCTTTTAGTGTTGCCCACAACCTTGGGCTTGAGACGGTGGGTGCCATCAACATTTTCACAGACGAGAGTAACACACGATTCTTGCTCATCTTGTGCCCAAGGACACTTGCCTCTGCCCTCGCTGCCCATTTGTTGCTTGGCAAGACCTTCCACAAAAAACGTCTCATCGCCATTGTAGATTTGAAAATCTTGAAGAATATTTTCTCTCCTCAAAACTCTCATCTCTTCCTTTAAGGGAGCAACACTGGCCACATGAACACTGTAGTGTTCGCCGATAATCTTACAGTCATTAATGTTGTGCCGGCCACAAAACCGTACCACTCAACCACCACTAGCCTGGAGATTTTCTATTTTCAGCTTCTCTGCAAACCTCTGTCCAGCAGACCGCATCTCTGGGCCTAGCACAGGCAGCCTTTGAGCCCTCTGCTGTTTGTACCAGCTGTAGACTGCTTTGTCTAAGTCTTGATGGATTGATTTTTTCAAAGACTTTTTTCCATTGCCTTGTTCTTGGCACTGGCACTTGCCTCTTACCGCAGCCTGTAGTTCTTCAGTTGTTGCCTATTGCCTTTCAACTGGTACCCTTCTGTTTTGTCGATGTTGTACTCGGCCTTAAGAGTAACCACAGACATTCCCTTTTCAATTTATTCTATCATTTCTAACATTTGTCCAATTGTTAGCCATGCTCTTTTCATTTTCTCCCCCACACCACTTCCTTTCTGAAACTTATGAGAGACTTTCGGCATGATGGGAAAGCCCAGTAGTTAGTTGACCGAGAGATAGCAGTGAACAACACATGAGGTGGCGGTAGGACACAGACCGAGCGGGCGTAAGCAAACCCCACGTGCTGCTTTTGGCGTAGAATTTAATGGAATCATGCTCAATTTAGTGAAATAGTTTGCTAAATTGAGTGAACATAACGAAAAGATCGATTTAGCAGAAATTTCGATTTAATGGAAAGGGGTGCCTCGAATTAGTTCGTTAAATCGAGAAAATACTGTACCATATATTCATAATCGATTATAGCCAACCCCATTTACTTTCTAATGATTTTCTCCCATACATAAAATTTATGAAATGGCAACTCATCTTGGGTTTTACAACACTCCTCCTATTGTGTTGCCTAAATACTGTACTGTACATTGATATTTATTAATCACAAAGGTACTACATTGCACATGAATGCTTAATGTCATTCAAAATATTATTTGTGGTATTATTTGATAAAATTTTATCACAGAACATTGTACAAGGAAGAATTATCTAGTCAGAGGTACAGTTGCGGAAATATGTTTCTACACCCCCTGTGGTAACCCGTGTTCCCAAACGGCAATGTTGCAGTAGTCGCATCACTATTCATGAATAAATGGGTATTGGTCATGTAATGACAGAAGTGATTGATGGATAGGTTTGCTATAGGTCATATAGGTTGGCTGTTTGGGGACATGGGTTACCACAGGGGATGTAGGAACACATTTCCGCAACTGTACCAGCCTATCTGGTACATCAACACACCTGAAGTTACAGTGTTGCTCATTTTCGATTCTACCGGACCATGGGGTCTATATACTGTTTTACTGACTGTACTGTACTGTAATTACAATTACTGTATAAAACTTCTTGATTATCGCAATTATCAGGTATAAGCTGTATCAGTAATGAGTCTCCATTTAATAAGTGTTTTATTTGGTTTTGTTCCACAGTTTTATTTCCTGATTCATTGTATAAATTACTGAAATCTGGGAGACATACAGTATTATGTGCACTTATGAATATCAGCCATTATAGTTGTCTGGTTTGTACTTTTGGTCACTCATATTAAAGTCTAAGTTAACCCTTCTTATCTGGGGGTTGCTTTACAAATCACCCAAGTCAGGCCCTGGGGACTAAGCTGATCCCCCTCACTTGAAGGTTGTCACAGATTTTATCCCTTGCCATGTCAAGGCTCTGGATTAAACAGGCCCTTCGTACTTGGGTTTTCATCTCAACAAAGAGTAGACAACAGCATAAAGGTTTATGCTTTTTGCTTTCATTTTTCCCAGGTAGTACCTCCAGGAACAGTCAATGCCATGCATATAATTTATTGTTCCAACTTTTTAAACTTTTACAGGGAACTTAACTGAAGAAGAAGAGAAGAGGGTGAATATGGCTCCAGTTCGCAATAAGAACAGAAACAAACCAGATATTGGAAAGATGTTTGAATCCACAGCAAACATTCTTCGAGAATTTTATGAACCATACAATAGGGATTTGGCTTGTCTTTTACAGGACTCGAGATTTACCTGGCAAGATATTTATTCAAGGGTATGGCTATAACAACCTGTTACTGTGTACTTTACACATATTTTATGCATGTCATAGATGATATCACTTTCCTTACTTTACAACTGTCATAGTCTGTATCATCACCAGTCATTACTCTTGTACTGTATCTATCTATACTATATATTAGTTTGCATGAGAAGGTTGCTACTACTGTTGTATCCACAGTTTTCAACATTCTTTCCATCTTTCAATTAACTCTTCTTTCTTGCCCCCCCCCCCCCAAAAAAAAATATCTTAATTTTTGATATCCTCTATTTAGCATCTCTGTAAGATATTCATTGACATAGTGTCTCTGAGAGTTTTCTCTTCACTATCCCCTCATAGGTGCTGAGGATACATCACTGGCAATATATAAATAATATATTGTAACAGAAGATGTAGGAATGTCTCAAGCTGCTTGCATGCCTCATTAATAAAAAGCACACAACATGCTTCCTCCTCTTTCACTAACTATGTCATGACTAGTCTATCAGCTAGTCTTTACCATAGCTATGAAACATATTGTACCTGCATAGCCTGTCATAGAGAGATGTTCCAGTCACACAAGAAAGAGTTAATAAAATTTAGAAGTGACTACCGTATGCACTATAGGCAGCTACACTGTATATGCTACATATTGGTCAAAATTTATAAGATGTTTCCTAATACTAATTATGTAGATATGGTTAATTTTTAGTCGTGCGAGTTATTTATATTTGCCCTTTAATTTTTAGAATGAAGAACAACATCCTGACTAGCGTATAATATCCACACCTCTTGGCTAGAATGCAGTGGTAACACTTGGCAGAATGAAGGAGCCACAGTAAACTAGAATGAAGGGTCCATACCTCTAAGACTTCAAATGAGAAGTCATGCATGAAGACTGCCTGCCAACAAGGAGGCTCAAGATTAAGAATGTGTGAAGTACTGTGTCTGTCTCTTTAATGGAAGGACTGTACCAATGACTAATGAGCCGATCAGTGGTGAAGAGGATAAAAGTAAAAAAAAAGTAAAGATGAGGATGTCATGAGGCATTGATTAATGCAAGGGCGAACGAGCCAAAACCAAGTCTTGATAAAATGAGGTTTAAAGTTTGCACATATTCAAAATGTCATAGAACCTCCAAAAATTCATAAATTGTGTTCAATGAGGTTTCATTTTAAAGGCGATTTAATGCAGAATATGATCCTTGTAATAAATGAAGTGTGATGTATGATTTTGGTGCACAATAATGTCAAATAATGAAATGGTGTGAAATTTACATTCATGAAAATAATGAAATAATAAAGTTCTGTACACAAAACAATAAATTTATATTGTAATAAAGTAAAAAATAAATAAATAATGGTAACACTCACTCTAGATGATGATTATGTTCTGCTAAAGAACTTGGTAGAAGGGGGGTTAGGGTAGATATCTAGTAGTCTATCTGATCATGAGATACACCTTCCTCCTCCGGGATGCCAAAAGTAGAACGTAGCAGGCTTCTCATTAGTCGGCACGCTCCTTCTCAACATGCTGATTAGCTCAGGGATTAAGGCGGGTTGTGATTGGTCGCTGGGCCACTGACAAGTTCAACTTTACTCTCACCAAACACTGAAATTACTACGTATAGGCAGCACAGAGACGCTGGGAGTTTTACACCTTACGATTCAGTGGGATTTTGCCAGTAAACCAAAGGTGAACTCGTCATACCATCTTCTGTCATAGTAGAATGAAACTTTCAGGAATGAATGGTACAAAAATCGCATTTTTGCTCAGGTGGTGAGTTTGCCCTTGCATTAATCAATGCCTCATATACAGAATATCATACAGTCCTGTAATTTTTTAACAACTATAAATTGAAGCTTATCAAACCCATCAGGAAAGCAATATTTGATCTTTACAATCTTCAGAACATTAATTTTATCCACAATTTGTATTTATTGACTTAAAATATAAGAGAAAAAAGCATTTACATGTACTGTATTCTGAAGTATTGTACCTTAAATGAATTTGCAACATATTTTTATAAATTTAATGAAACTGAAAATTTTCACTGGCAGTAAATACATACATTAGTTTGTTTTTATTTAAGTTTAAATTCTTTAAATTTGAGAAAGCAAAAATAAAGAAAATTAGTTATGGTGCTTTCTTGGACAATTAGAAATACATTAATAATATTATCATGAACTTAAAATGTAACCCAAGTAATGTACAGGGAAAACTTAATTACTGCACAATGATTTACTGTACTTAGAATAATCCTCCTACTTAAGGATTTCTGCTATGATTACATAAATATCATGTATTTAAAATTTAAATATTTGACATTAATATTATGTAAAAGAAAGTAAATGACAATTTCAATGATAATATTACGTATTAGTGTTATTGATTTTTTTTATAAAAATTATCATCTAGCCTCTAAGAGGCTGTTTATAACTAAATAAAATACCTGTATGTCATAAACTAACAAAAGATGTTTGTTTCTTTAGGAAATTGTAACAATAATCATATATCTGCTACAGTAGCATGATAATTTTAATAAAACTTGAGTAGATGTACAGTTGCATTCAAAATTCTCTTGAACACTTTCTAGCAATATCTGGTCTCTTGTAGGTAAGTGTTAAAATTGTAATCCCCTTAACTACAAGTGATCGCATAACACACCTGCCCTCGCTCGTGTAACCAGCGTTATTTATCTTTGCGTAACCTTGCGATTGCTGTGATATTTGCCGTTATTGGTGAGAGGAAAACACCATCATTCAGATTTTGCTCTGTTTTGGTGACTGTGAAGTGATTAATAAATTTTTTATGGGTAATGGAAATTTCTGGAGGTCAAAGATTCTGGATAATGGGGAAATTTCAGTGCCAGTACAGTACTGTAGGGTAATTACACAATTGTATACAGGTAAAAGAAGATATTTGTTAATAAAGGAAAAACACTAAACTACGTGTTTACTTTGCAAGGTTATTCATAATTTTGTGTATTTCATTATAATTTTAAGGCTGCACTACCCAGCACCAGCTTTAATGAAAGGCCTTTTAAACTGAATTAATTGTGTTCCAAGCCATTTCATAAAAATGGAATTTTATTGTAGAAGATATTGCTAAGTGTAAAGAGAAATTTGGCTACAACTTTACCCTTTGTGTATTATATGAAGGTAATTGCTGACTTTTGATAGCACTGATACACAGTTCCATAGTAAAGACAATATCTTATCATAATGATTTTAAATCAATATTATGAGATCAGTTAGTACAGTACAGTACAGTACAATATACTGAATATGGAAAATTTTGAACTTTAAATATTACAAATTTTATTTATTTTTAATAGAAAACATTCATGACCAATTTCTCTATCAATAAGATTAAATTTCAAGTATTCAGTGCCATTTATCTCATCCTTTTGTTCGATTACTTAAATTACCTATTCATGTCATCTTAAAATCAGAACTTGATTATATCTAATATTAATAATAAAATATAACCATATCCTCTCTGGCTTTTAAAACCCATTTTGTTTACAAATACTGTACCCTGAATCATCAAATTGAGGAAGTTCTTTTTATCTGTGACACCTGACATCAGGCCTGTATACCAGGAGGAAATTTCACATTTTGTTCATTAATGTAAAGCTTCAGGAAAACTAAATTTGGAGCCAATGAGTGTTTTACTGTTATAACTTTGCCATTCATAATTCAACCATTTCAACTTAATAAATGTCCATTTGGTAAGCTAAAATTTTGAAGAATAATTCATGCTAAGTGAAACATACTGCGCTATAAATCCTAGGGTTCCCTGCTTGTAAGTTAGGCATAAATAAACTAGATTCCTAAAAATTTATGCAGCATGAATTCGTGAGATGCACATCCAATTTGCCAAGAACTTGTAGAAATACAGTAATTAGGTTACTGGAATCTTTTAAATGCACTCTCTCGCACAAAAATAAAGCACCCAAAGAAGAAAGAATGATAGATACTATGTACACTACTACATTGAAATATATTAACACTACAACCCTGTTAATAGCATTACACTTACTTTCAATAAGTGCCCAATTCCTCTGGTGAAGATTTCTGGTGAGTTCAAGAAAAATCTGTAGGCTTACTGTTCTTAAAATGTGCATAAAATTCAGGTAGAGCTCCTATACCTTGCTTAAGAATGGGGATGCCATTATAAATTGTGGGTTAGAGATACACTGTTATATGTCAGAGCTAATGTAAGGTTCCCACAAGATACTTTGGGTTGACTGTGGAACACACAAGATGCTGCTTCCTTGGTCTTGTGTTCTTCACCTTCATTCTTGTCCTTTATCTCTTCAGAAAGTCTGCACCAGCTGTGTGGCTTCTTACAAAGGTAGCTCCATTTGGTGCTCCTTCTGTTCATCTTCATCAGCAACAGACACATCATTGAATCCTTCATCAGTAATATCACTAGGAAGACCAACTAGGCCTTGCAATTTTCTCCAGGTTAAAATCTGCAAGCCCCGTGAAGTACCAGTTTTCATCTACAGTGTTGAGAAATGATGTAAAGATGCCTATCCCTGCAATGTCAGTGCAAGTATGCAAATAGCCCAGTCTCATATCCATGAAAATTCTATTAGCAAAAATGTCATATTGCACTACAGTACATACTTGGCCATGAAGCAGCAAACCTCCTGGTTGTCATATGTTAGAAGGAATGTTGAATCCTGATATAATCTATAATGAAAAACAGTGTTTGTAATCTACAAATCAGTCACATACTGTTTTTGATCCACAAGTAGATGCTAGATATTACTAAGTGTCAAGGTAATTTTGGCCACAACTGTATACTCAAGTATAGGTATTGTCTGTTATACAATTGATTGATATATGATTGATCAATTTTACAATGTTAAGAAATTAACACCAAATACAGCTATGGGATGGCTAAGATCTTATTTACGATGGCTGTTACCCAATGACTACCTGAATGCTTTTCCTGTATTGTCAGTGCTATGAAAAAGTGATGTGCAATAACTCGCAATATCTCAAGATATGAGGACGCAATCTTGGAATGGCGTAACACAGACAGCCTCCCATGCAGCTAACTTGGGTTTCTCAGCCCACCCCTAGTGAGTCTGGCTGAGCAGCTGAATTGTGTCACATCACCTAGATGATGGTTTGCATGTGGAAGAAGCTCTTTGTACATAAAATAATATATACAGTACTGTACTGTACCAGTAAATGTAAGGAATAAAGAAAAATATTACAAATAAATAAATGAAAAAAATATTGCATTGACATTCAGTAATCGTTCACTACACACGGGACACGAGGCGGAAAATGACTGAAAAACCCCACTCCGTTCCCCCTTACCACGCTCTGTAATAACTGCCATGCACGTAAGAAATGTTTACAGTATTCCCTTTATGTTTTTGTCCTTATAATAATTATTAATTTTTTGGGTACATTCTGTATAAAAGAAGAAGAAAATTATGTACTGTATGTCTACCTGAAATTATGAGTTTAAAAATAAGAGCTCCGAGTGCTAACTCTGGCTCTTCAGGGTCTCAAGAACAGAAACTATTTTTCCTCATATAAGTTATTAATACAATACAGGTCTACAACCCCTTATCCGCAATTCCAAAATCCGAAAAGCTCTGAAAACCAAGTTTTTTCGTGGAGCATCACTCGTGTACATGACATACCCAGAGTGACGCCATACATGACCCAACGCGGCCGAAGCTTGACCCACGCAGGTGTGAGACATCAGTTGTCTCAACGCTGCTACCAGTCACACGTGTGTCTGCTGCTCTCTGATATTTTTTGTGATTTTGAGTTTAATTTCACTATGAAAATGTCAAAAAGAGCTTCAGATACCCCTATGGGTAACAGTGAGAAGAAAAAAAGAAGTATCTCTCATTATCAACAGCACAGAAAGTGGAGTTATTTCAGAAGCTTGATTGTGGTGTGCCCGTGCAGCGACTTACTAAGAATATGGTGTAGGAACTACCACCATATATGACTTAAAGAAACAGAAAGACAAGTTGTTGAAGTTTTACACTGACAGTGATGACCATAAACTAATGAAAAATAGGAAAACATTGCATAGGGCAAAAAATGAAGATCTTGACAGTGTGCTGATTGAGTGGATTCAACAACGAAGAAGTGAACGTATGCCACTGACTGGTTTGCTGGTCATGAAACAAGCTAGAATATACCATGAACTGAACATTGAAGGCGAGTGTGAATATTCAGAAGGTTCGTTACAGAAATATTAATGTGTTTGCTTACGGGGTGCTGCCACACACCCCACTAGGGTGTTACCATAATATACAGTACCTTATGTGCCGTACTACCGTTCTGAAATCCAAAAAATTCTGAATTCCGAAACACATCTGGCCCCAGGGGTTTCGGATAAGGGATTGTGAACCTGTACTGTATCATTACAGTATATGATCGATCACCTCACGGTGGCTTTTCGATGTCCTTAACCCCATTGTATAACGGTCTACAATACAGTATGCACATAATGGAACAGGAGTCATTTTAAAAACTACATACAAATTTGAAAATACCTGTACCTAAATTACTCTGATCTAATGAAAAGCCAACTTAATATATTCGAAACACTGACAAGCATATTATGATGATAATGATCATCATCATTATTTTATGGCCATTTTCCACGTCTACTCCCTAGCTCTCCTCCACTCCACGTTCAAACTCATGCAATTCTTGAAATAACTGGTCTCTTCAGAGGAACTACAAAAATATATTTTCTGTAACTCTTATCTATTTAATTTCATTTACAGTAAGTAAATTGCAATTTGGTACTATGAATATTGACCAAAAGAATATACAGTATAGTCTGGATTTACATGGTTTTTGTTTATGCATTTGGTCATTTACGCGGTGCCTTGCCAGAATGAAATGTTTTAATTACGCGGTAAATTTCAATATTTATGCGGCGAGCGGCTGGAGAGGTCCAGACCCTCACGCCATTTTTTACTCGCGCAGTCCATTCTTGACCATATGCAGTTAGTGGTGCGGTGAGTGGTGCGCATTAGGCCACTCTTACGTTATCGCTGACGTCATATGAAGTATCGGACTGTGATTGGGCCACGCATTCCCTCCGCCGCTAGCTGTGATTGGTCTAATGTAACATGACGTGCCCTACCACCAAAGGGTAAAAGTCACTGACCTAACCGGGCCTGTCTCATTGTTCTCAGTCCGCGTATACAGTTCTCTCTTGTGCCCGCTATTCCCCTCACAATGGCTTCCGCTGGACCCCCACCACCCGAGAAAAACCTTGAATTACCTGGACCAGCCATGATAATGTGAAGGAAATCATCGAGTTGGAGGAGAAAATTAAGCTCGTCCTTGACAACAACCCAGACAAGCATCGGTATGAAGCGTCTAATAACCTTCTGTTGAAAGTTATGGAGTCGTATATCCAGATCTATCTCGACAACATCAATGCTAGTTGTCAACGTAGTATTGAGGACTTCCTCGCCTGCAACCCACAACAACCACAGCCAGCCCAAGTCAGTGATAGTGACAGTGAGGATATGGACTTTGAGGGGTTTGTCTGGGAGGCCCTGCAAACCTCTGCGAGTAGTGAAAGTGATTCACCGGAGGGCAACTAATCTGCCCTCTGCCTCGGAACCAGCCGCCATCCACGTGTGCCGACCCAGCTTTTCTACTAACGTAAGTGTTAAAAACCTAATATTATTGATATTTCTCTTAATTATTAATTGTATATGCATACCATCATAAATATTAAGATGTTCTTTTTACTACAATATACGTATTGTGTCGGAAAAAGTGGAGTTTGGGGGTCGGCCCAGTCTCTATTTCAATTAATCCCATACCTATGTTCTGTTATTTCGTTTACGAGTTTCTCGTTTTACGCGGACCTCCACGGGTTCAATTGACCGCGTAAATGCAGACTACTGTATACTGTACTAAAACTAGACAATCAATGAAAATGATGTATGGTATGCATCCACTGAATAGCACTCTAATACAGGTACTGTGCTTTTAAACATCAAAGTGGCCATAATTGTGGCATATAAATTCTGTACCTGTAATCCAAACCAAAATGTAAATTCTTTATCAAACGTGTATTTAATAAGGTATTGGTGGGTTTTTTGTACTTTAAAAGTTTGGATTTTATTATAAATAAAGACTTTAAATTCTACAAACATTGATGACAAAATACATAGGAGTTTTCCCTATGGATATATTTTAAGCATGTTGTTCCTTTCCAAGATTCCTGGGAGGTGGAAAAGAGAAGTAATATTTAAGATTTAAAATTTGTTCTTCATCCTTAATTTTTCTGCTGTCAACTGCAAGGTACTGGTGTTCAAGGTGATGGTCTACTGAGACAGTACTGTTTTCATAAATATTTGGCAATTTCATGACAAAATTTCAAACATCAACACTTATACGGTTTATGATTGGCTTGAAATCTAAATTGTGAGTTTAGAAAAAAAATTAATAAACTAAAAGAATTTTAAAATGATGAAAAACATCTAAAAAAATAATTTGGAAGTCAACATGCTATTGAAATTTAGGAAAACCCTCCTATAGACTTGCAGATGAACGAATAGTACAGTACAAGAATTGGTCTTTAACCACCAGGCTTTGGTTCCTGTCATTATGGTAGGGCTTCAATAATAATATTAATAATAATAATAACAATAACAATAACAACAATAATAATAATAATAATAATAATAATAATAATAATAATAATAATAACAACAATAATAATAATAATAATAATAATAATAATAATAACAATAATAATAATAATAATGCTGGAAAACCAGTTTTTGAAGTGAGACAGATTTTAAGAAGATGGAAACACAGAAGAAGGCAAAGCATTTCACAGTTTGGCTGTGTGAGGAAAGAAGGAACTACTGTAGCGGGCTATTCTAGAGTTCCCGACATCCACACAGAAACGGTGGGAAACACGAGCAAGACGAATGTTACGAGCCCACTGCCTTACCGGCAGTACACAAGATGCCATATACACAGGCTGAAAAAAAAAAGTTCTCTTACCTTACAGAGAAGTGTCTGATGTATCTTATAAGGATATGAAAAGATATCACCATTCAATAAGTTATTGTGTGTATTCCCTAAGGTTCTATTATATGCACAGAGAATGCCTCCCTCTTCATCAGTAACCATTGTACAAAATGTTTCTTATTGGACCATAGCTGCAGAATTAATTATTAATAATGCGTTCAAAAGTGAATCCTGAATTTTTTTTTATCATAAAACTACACAATGGACAATTTACGACTATGAAAAATAGCATCCTATATGCATGACTTGTTAAATCAGCCAGCAATGTGTCGTAACTATTTGCATACACCATACAGTAAAAAATCAAGGGTTAGCTTCTACTCTTCATAATCAGCTGAATAATTTGACCTTCATAACGTACAGTAATTAGCCTGTCTGAGATCCATTTTTTTCAAACTGATGCTATATCTAAATGAATTACAAAAGAAGAGACAGCATAAGGTAAATTATCTTAGTAATAGTAGTATTTACATATACTGTGTAGGTAATTTGATAAACAAAACAACACTCGCCAGTAGTTAAGTGCACAACCTAGATCGGGATGTAATCATAAAAATGACTGGCTCATCAAAATAAGACTTTCAACAATTACTAAAGATATGATTGGTATAATAACAATTATCTGATAATAAATTCTCAAGCAAAATTAATTTATAATTTTATAACAATAAGAAAGTCACAAGCTTAATCTTACCAAGACACACAAATTCAGTAAAGCTAAGTTAACAATATCACTGACAAGGACTACAAAATTTGGTGAAAAATGTATTTTTATTTAATTATTAATTTTTTTTTGTGAAGCAGTATCAACAATATCACTCACAATGACTACAAAAATGTGTAAATTTCTTTTAGTGAAGCTGTATCAACGTTATCACTGACAAATACTACAAAACTGGCGAACACTTTGTCTATAAAACACGATAGCATAGAGCATAGCTGCAGAACACAAAGTGCAACACATGACTAACACTTATAGACTGTAAAGATCATGAAAAATTTGGCAGTTTTTGCGACTGAAGGAAGATCTCCGGATACCAGTTCTCTGACTTAGCAGTTTACCTGTAAAGTTTAAAAATCAGTAAATAGATCTAGCAAGGAACCCTTGTATACCCTAAATATACTTCCATCATAAAATATAATGATTTGAGGTACATCAAGCCTTTCAAAAGAGTAATTTAATTCTTTTACTATCAAGTCATCAGCAGTGTCTGTTGTACCATGAGCTCTCTATCCTATCCAACTCACAAAACACTAGATATATCACTCACCTGCTCTGACTAAAACCCTATTGTAAAAGAGGTATGCCTGCTCAACCTTCCTATTTTATTCAGAATGGTTACAATGGTGTGACATGTCATGAAACCAATCACAATGACCAGAGCTAACTGTTGGGTTCACTAATATTTTAGTTACCAGACACTTCTACAACTGGTTGACAGATGACAGGAATGGCAAAAAATCTCTTCATAGGCCACCCCTCAGGTTACAAAGGCAGATCCAACTGAATTATTTCTAGGTTTATCATGAAGTACAGCCAGTGACATATTTGGCAACTGGTGACAGGGAACACAGATACATGATGGTCCCCATTTTGTGGTTTTATGATAAGAATTAACTCTGATCATTATTTGCTATCTTTAATTACTAGTGGTACAGATTAGATACCACTAAGATACACTCAAGATAACTTGGTGCAAAATTATACATCTATCTATTATCTTTTCTCACACTCAGATGTGGGGTGGATCATGGGGTACAAAAACCACAAGGAGACAAAGTAATAATAAGAATGATGGTACAGTACACATATGTGGAGAACAATAGGAAAGAGCTAAAATAATAAAGGTATTTATACAGCCTTACCTTAGGAGATCACATAAGAATGATAAAAAAAAGTCTGATTATGATCCAAAGTAATGTATTTGTTTCAGTTCAGTCAACTCACCGACACAGTGTAGCATCAATCTGCGTAAGTGATGGCAGTGCCAGTTTTATCTTGCGGCGGTAGTTAGGGTCCCGTTGTAAGGGATTCCCCTCTAGATACACTGTCTGTAATCCCTTTGCATTTTCTAGCTGCTTTAAGTCATTCCAGTCACTTATTTGGTTGCCATTAAACTGAAAAAAAAAAAATAAAAAATAAATAAATAAATACAAAATAAAATGATCTACAAAAACACAATTAATTTGGAAAGTATTTTTGACCTTCAAATACAGTTAATGAGGTGAGTACTACAGATATACTGCATTGAGAAATACAGTGATAAGGCAATAATAACCTTTTTTTTTGAGGGGGATATCAACAAGATGTTCTTTAACATTGAAAAATAACCTATCAGTGGAGGCGAGGTATACAAGTGAAACTGGCAGGAAAACTGGTTCTTCAATTCTGGTGACAGTAATTTGTTTGGTATGTAAATGAATAGTAGATCTATTTCACCAAGCTCCAGTATAATGCACTACATAATAAAACTACAGAAAAAAGTCTCTCTTTGGCCTTGATGCCCCACTACAGACAGTATGGATAGAGCACACTGCATATTGTACAAAGAAGTAGGTAGCCAGCACTGCACTCAACTGCATTCACTTCCCCAACTGTTAAATTAAGTACTCATATACAACTGGGTGGACAGGGGATAGCATAGGATTGAACCTGTAACTCTAGGATGTGGTAGGCACTGTATCACTTGCTGTCACACCCTTAAATGCCATATACAATATACTATACTGTACAGTGATCTAAATATGTACTGTATATGTATTAGAATACAGTACAGTAGTTGTGAATACAGCAGAACGTCGATTTAAAGCGATTCAATTTAAGATTATTAATTTAAAGCGATACCCACAATTAAGGACAATGTTTTAATTTAAAGCGAATCTTTCCTATTTTGAGCAAGTCAATCTGGTGCATCATACATGTAATATAAAATTCGCGCCTAATGTTTCTCTGGGCACGCTATACTGTCCTAAAGGCAAAGCTGAGCTGTACTGTACATGTACTCAAAATAATGTACTAAATGATTACCTGTACTAAAATTTTTGTCTAGTGCAAACAATAGCATGATTATATTCTAATAAATCATTATCTTATAAGAATTCCAGCAATGTAACTTATATTCTCCCAGGTCACTTGTGTGACATTTTATAAGCAAAAACTCAATCTAAAGGACATAAATAAACAAATAAATACTTCACTAGATCTTCGGCCCCCAACTGTCAAACGTGTCACTGTCACCTGCCTCCACCCCCCACCCCCCATCTTTCCAGCCAGGGTTGGGTGGTTATAGGCTTTAAGTTTTTATCTTATATAATATCACAGACTAAAGTTAGAATATAATTTGCATTGCTAGAATCCTTGCAAGACAGCAAATAATTTGAATAAAACGTCATATATTTTGCACAAGAGATAATTTTTTTTAGCCCTTTGTAATAAAATTAATTAGAACATGTCAGTTCAGTGACATTTTACAAGAAAAAAACTTAGTCACGCACTGATACATATAAGAACAGCACCATCCCGTCTATTGCTAAAATAATAAACAGCTCCTGATTCATGTACTGTACAGCCCTGTAAATGTATTGAATGTATATTAATATATCTAAATCACATGTAAGCTTATATATTTTCAGCCACCGGCTGCAACTCTATTAATAAATCGTTTATTATTATTATTTTTTTTATATAAATAAATAAGCACTAGACCTTGGCATCAACTGTCAAACTTATCACCTCGTCTCCCCCCCCTCTTTCCATCGGCTGATCACTAGTAAACAAACCATTTCACGTCCCAAAATTTTAGCCGTGTTGATTTATGAGTGTTTGTTTTAACATAATACTACAAAAAACAATGTTTTGTTTATTCTAGGAGATGGGCTGAGGTGCATCTGAGTAGACTCTCAGTCTTTTTAGTAATTTGCGTTTCTCTCAAATACCAAACTAAATTATTCCATTGAAACAACACTTAAATTTAGTGCGAATTCAGTTTAAAGCGACCTCTCTTGGAACGTATCTCCTGTTATATTGACGTTCTACTGTATACAGTACATAAGAATTCTTTTATTATATTTCTTCACAAGCAATTTTTTTGTGATTTCTTCATTCTAGTCTTGTCAGTAAACTGAGACATATTTCTTGTGCTTGTAATAAAACATACTGTATTTTGGTTTGCAGTCATATGTTGAATTATAAACTCAATGTATGAAACACTGAGATCTTATTGTTATTACAGTACTACTTCTATAATATTTATTGCCCTTAGTAATATTTTCCCTCAGGGAATTATCAAATCTCCAAGGTGAATGAAAATGGAGTACTGCTAATAGATAAAACAACGGCCAAAGCCTTTAGACTTACCCAAAATTCCTCCAGCTCAGTAAGATGGCTAATATTACCAATCTTCTTAATTCTGTTCACAGCCATATCCAAAGTCTGAAGTTTAACATTGTTGTCAAGACCTTCTAGCACCTCTGTGCCATTATGGGAGCAGTACAGTTGCTCCAGATTGACCAGTCGACCAAGACCTTCAATCTTAGTTATTCGGTTGCTCTGTAAACCCACATAAAATTTATTAAATTATTTCAAAATTTGATATTATACAATTTCCATTTATGATCTCCCATTTTCCACAGTAAAGCAAGATAAAGCTTGTTGTGCTACACCTGTACTGTACTGTATGTCCAAATCTTGTATCTATAACTCCAGAACAAATGATCAAAAGTTGAATTACAGTGTCTCTAAAATAATGTTCTCATCACTTATAACCTTACAATCCATTATGATAAACTCTATTAAACACACAAACTTCCTCAGTCTATCTGATATCTAAAAAAAAAAAAAATACCTTTTTTATAACTGTCTGACTGAGCTACTGACTTCAAGAACTGGACAGGTGGTAAGCCCTGTTTGGCTACAACAAAAGTACACAATTAATAACAAGCGTCATATTTTAAGAGAACAGAACAGTACAGTACAGTACCTGCCAATTCAGAGCTCAACAGTTAAGGATGAGTTTAATGTGTTACAGCTGACTGCCAGCAGAGAGCATACATCACTCACCTGCACACCAAGTATCTCAAGGTTGATAAGGGAATCTAAGTTTTGTAACTTCATGATTTTGTTCTTGCCCAGGAATATGCTATTTAGATTTGTCATTCCATCTAGGTTTTCAATGATCTGTTGGCAGAAGTGTACGTACAGTATAAACAGAATATCATATTTCTAAATTATAACCAATAAAAAATAAAGCTAAAAATACTACATACTGTACAGTATATACTGTCATAAACATCTATCCAAAAAGAAATAATAATGTAAGCACTGAAGGACACTGAACTGGGAGGCTAGCCAGACTTACTGGACCCAGAAACATTCAGTGGTCTGATAATTTAAGCTTGCAAAGACATAGATTGTTTCAAATGGTTAAAAGAAGAAAAAATTGGTTTAAATTTTGGAGTTTTGAAACTTCTGCCTTTAATGAGCCCAGTATAAATGCAGGAAATCTATTGCAATAAAGCCTATATCAGGTGGCTGACTCATGTCAACAAAGTCCTGTTGGTCTACATGAGTGGCAGGAAGCCAACCTCTAAAAGGCCTCAACTCTGGTGTTTCTCAATGGTCATACTTTCAGTTCAGACTGAGCCAAAGATTAAAAACAGAGCTAAAATTAATTGACCAAAGATATTGTCAACTTCTTATTTTATTTGATATAAAATTAAAAATGTTTCATAAAGAGGACACCTTAATTATCTTTTAACTTTTAAGAATTTAAAGATATAAAGAAACTTAAGCTAATGCACCCAGGTACAAGGGGATTTCTTGCACAGTCATAAGATCTCTTACCCTTATTTTGTTGTCTCCAAGTTCAAGAAGTTCGAGATTTCTCAGGTGGTTCACGTTCTCAATTCGTGATATCTTGTTAGCACACAAGAACAACTTTTTTAGATTGGTTAGTCCCTCCAAATTCTCAATTTTTCTAATTCGATTGAAAGAGATGTCAAGTACCCTAAGAGGGGGAAAAAATTAACATCAGTTGTAAATTTAGGAATACATGGACTCTTATACAGTGGTCCCTCGGTTAACAAACTGCCTCCCATAAGATTCTTAAATTTGGTTAACGAACAAAAATTCGGTTAACGAATTTCTTACGAACCGACCTCAACATGTTTTCGCTTGCACTGGCCGGTCAACCAGCTTTAGTATTAGTCCGCCAATACATTAATCGGTTCTAGGGCTTAAATTCCTTACTATTTTAGTAAATATCAAGAAGTTTATACTATTCAATAATTTTAAAAGTTTAATATTCAATTTTTTAGTCATTTTAACAATTATTGAACATAATTGAAGGTAAAGTGACTAGTTTAATGCGCGGCATCCAGCCTCTTAACACAGCAAACAGGCGTTAGTCTCTCTCTGTTTTCACTGGAGGTAACATCTTGCTTGAGACTCTCTTCAACTAAACGCTTTTTTTCTGTGTTTCCAAGCAAATTATTGGTCATTTTGAAATATATTTTACAAATTGACAATATATAATGCAGTGCAGTGTTGATTTAAAGAAAATAATCTTGAAATACACCAAGAGAACTAAAGTTTTATGGGTGAAATGGTGCCTTGGGGTGACTTCTCTTCCACCCCAATGCCTTCTCTTCTTCCTTCTCCTCCACCCCCATTCCAATTCCCATCATCATCATCCAGGAGCGTTCTACATACACACCACAAAGTAAGTGAACTTTTCTACCATTTTTGTTGAATTTAGGCAATTTTCGGTGAGCTGGAACCAATTACCCAAAAACCCATTGAAACAATGGTTTCGGTTAACGAATTTTTCGGTTAACGAACAACCTGCTGGAACGGATTGTGTTCGTTAACCGAGGGACCACTGTACAGTATAGTAATTATTCACATTCATTCTTTGTCTACTGTAAAGGAAAGTGTTATGTCTTTAGATTTACTGATGTTCTTGGTACAGTATTCTCCTTGTACAGTACTTTGTAACAAATGGCAGAATGATCATCTCTCATAAAAACAATGTTATTACAGCATCCATTATCCTTCTTTCCATATTCGTATATGGTACCTTAATGGTGTTTTAAGTCAGGATCAAAAGAGAAAGTATGAGTTCTGCCTTAAACAGTTACAGTGCAGTATTAGATTTTATAAGTACACTCAACTCTTACAACTTTGTTTCGAGTAGATCAAGGGATACAACTCTTTCCAGAAGGAGAAGAAAGGATATAAGAGAATGAAGCAAGGAAGAGAAGAAAGTCACAGGAAGTAGCTGAAACAGTAATGCTCCACACATACATCTTTCTATCAACTATCACAGACAAATCTAAATTACTATATACAGTACATTCTTAATCCTTCCATAAATATTACGACTACTCATGAACCCACTCGAATTGATATCTTATCCAATCCATCTTCAGTGTTTGCATCAACCAACCAATCAACCTATTTTTATTAGGGTAAAGGTTTTGGCTAAGATTTAAAAAAAGCTGTACTGTGGTTATAGCTTCTACTCATCCGTTAGTGAATATTCTTCTGGTGGCTTAACTAACTCATTATTGACTTATACAGTATAACTATAGTTTACAAAGCTTAATCTCAGTATCAACATTGATCCTTAACTTCTTATATTCATTAATTGTATATTTATGTTCCCTTTGTTTATTCATCCTTATTATAAAAATCAGATTTCTTATTGCTCCCTTCTCATGAAGTTTCATCTTTGTGTGAAAAAAGAATTCTTATGGTGTGTTGCGAGTCACTGTGGATACTAAGGTTTTATTTTGAACTCTGTGTATGCAAGATTAGGACACAGCAGAGCATGTTCTATATCTGTTGTATCATTATCCATCCCATCTGGTTTTGCTTATGGTTTCTGTACTCCTAAAACTTCCTCACACAGCAAACTTCTCATGTTTCACTCTTCAACTTCATAATTGACATACTGTATACTTGAACATCACTCTAGCATCACAGTCTATATGAATGACTGCTAGTCATATTTCATCCCTCCAATAACATCTAGTATAGAAACACTATTCCCTAACTCAGGTCACACCCCCCAGCATGATAGGGTTAACTAATCCAGGGCCTTTTGGTCATTTCTGTTCAGAGGATAATATATATATATATATATATATATATATATATATATATATATATATATATATATATATATATATATATATATATATATATATATATATATATATATATATATATATATATATATATATATATATATATATATATATATATATATATATATATACTGTTTATATTTATTAAGGTAATCCATATCACTTGCTTTAACTGGGTATTTATACCAGCTGTATTATAATAAGTAGCTTCATTCAGTTTACCAGTGTGTGTAACTGTCACCTAAATCACAAGCTGTAACTCTGACTGCATTGCTGCAATGTGAGTAACTCTGTTATCTGTATTGTACTTTGGCTCTTTCAGCTCTCTCATATACACAATTCCACTAATCGTATGCCAGACCACAAAGAAAACCTAGGTCCTTGAAGCACTGTATACTACTGTAATGCTTTTTGAATCATGCCACTCTCAGCAAAAATATGAAAGTACAAGTCTTCTCGGGGTCTATAGAACTAAATGACTTTAACTATCAACTTACTCAAGGTTGACGAGTGCAGATAACTTTTCAATGACGGTTATTTGGTTATCATAAAGTTCCAACTCTTTAAGCATGGTAAGTGTGTGTAGATTTTCAACTTTTTTTATGAGATTCCATCGCAGACACAGCGTCTCAACACGCGTCAATGATTCTAAATTCTCTATCTTGGCAATGCGGCGGTGATTCAAATCAACTTCCTGAAAAGACATTATACAATGAGATTTATATCAATTAGTATTTGTAAAATTCCTTGCACAATGCCCTAACTGCCACTTAGCTATATGAAACAGTTCCCACCCTTTGCTACTCTTACATCTGACATACTGTACCTATAAATGTTAAATAATCTTTTAACAATATGCCAAAGCACTATATTTGAAATGTTCTACTCACACAGTTCTCCTCTAGTTTATAATTACCAATGAAGACAAAGTTTACAGTAATGCCACCATACAGGATTGTTACTCGACACAAAATTTCTGCTCACACAAATGTTTGACCTTGGGATGTTGGATGCTGGCTTCAACAGTGGTGAATGACTGTCACCATGGGATAAGGTATTGTGGGGTGGGTTATAAGGAAGGTAGTGGAGGAAGGTGTGATTTGCCCCTACATACTAGCACACACTAATGCCTTCAATAAATTTTGATAAGATATTCAAATCATGCTCAGCAAGCAAAAAACTCACCACTGCATTTGGGTCAAGGATGACCAGATCCTCTGTTTCACCATCATCTGGGTCAGCTGAGGAAATAAGATATTGTAATGTGTTTTGTTTTGTTTCATTATTTGTTGTGGCAGGTTAAAGCTAAGAAGTTTATAAAGATTATGTGTTCATAATCCCAAGGGAGAGTAGAACATTTTATGTATTGAAGAAAAAGGAACATACAGTATGTTACTTTTTCATAATGCACAACAGCAATGATAAATTGTGGGTATCAACAGTTGGTAAGTAAATGTGCAACAAATCTAAATATAAAAATAAATAAATAAATTCTGTGGCCATTCTGCCACCTTTTGCTTAAAGAGGATACCTCTGAGAAAGCAAAAGCAAAATGTTTCACGAGTTTTACCGTAATTACAATCATTACAATTATTTGTTTAAAATGTTAGAGATATATACCAGGGTAACCACTAATTACAATTTAGCAGAGACTATACCCTCTGCAGTGTGTTTTGGAAATACGTTTCATAATTCTGGGGGTGTATTCCTGAGACATGCATACCGGTAAGGATAAATGCAAAGGTGGGCAGTTGCGCCACAAAAAGTTGCGGTGCAACTTGTGCCACAACTTTTTTGGTTGCACGTGCAGTTGCGGTGCACATTTTTCCAGAGTTGCGGAACTAGTTGCAGCGCAACTTTTACAAGCATTTTCAAGCGCAAGCGCAAAATTTGTCGGCAATAATTGAAAATTGGAATACGACCACATAAATAAACTGGCATCCCTAGAGCCGCGCATTACGATAATTTCTGTTTCTGACGGAATGATTCAGCATACACATGATACAGGTGGGGCAGCATATTTCTGAACTGTAAACGAGATGAGACCCTTCCCCCTCTCCGTCGCTCCCTCACTCCCCTTCCCTCGCTGTAGTTGTCAGATTTCATCTTTCACATAAAATCTAGAAACTAGAGTTAATGTGAAAGATGAAATCTGGCAACTACAACGACGGAAGGGGAGGGAGGAATGATTCATATCATAACCAGTCAGGCAGTCAGTAGCACTGCAGTAAAGGCATCAGTTTCTTGTTGTTTTGTTTCTTGTTATTACTAGTATTATGGATCGTTTTGTGATAAGGAGGAAGGAGAAGGAGTCTGTGGCCGGCAGCAGTGATCCTACCGACCAGGACATGGACACGGAAGTTGAATTGACTGAGACTGTTGACAGCCAGTCTACTGAGACTGAGGTCAGTGGCAGTGAAGCATTTTTTTTGTAATTTTGTAATGAAATATTGATAATATTAACTTTTTTGTATCAATTATATTTTGTTTTACTTGTAAATAGGCAAAAAATTATTTTAGTATTTGTTTATTTATTTTTTTAAAGTTGCACGTTGCGGTTGCGCTTGAGGTGAAACTTCTTGAAAATGGTTGCGGTGCAACTATTCCAGCAGAGTTACGGTTGTGGTGCAAAAAAAAAAGTTGCGTGTGCCCACCTTTGGATAAATGACTCCATGACCATAGTGTCAATACTCCACAGTTTCAGAGTTATACCACAAAATTGGGTAGGGGAGGACTCCAATAAGTCTATGGACATAAAATATAAAATATCAAGCCTTATTTAAATTAATTGGTAACAGTAGAGTGGGTCTACTGACAATCCACATGCAGTGACACGTACATCGCATCAGGTATGATTCGCAATCAATGTTTGGACCGACATTCTTGGTCACCACCTTATTGGCCCATATCTGCTACCCCAGCAGCTGACAGGTAAAACATACTGTGTACTGTACGCATTTTCTTGAGGGCATGTTGCCAGTGATGCTTGAGGATGTGCTCATCAGGATACGTCATTAACTGTGTTACATGCATGATGGTACCCCAGCTCATTTTCTTGAGTAATGATGGAATTCCTAAATACTGGGTATCCTGGCAGGTGGATAGGGCATGGCACCATGGTCCTGTTCCATGGCCACCTTGGTCATCTGATCTAAATCCCCTTGACTTTTAACTGTGGGGTCATGTTAAAAGGAAAGTGTATGCTACAAAGGTCCCAACTCGTGAAGAATTGTGGCACCAAGTGCAAGACTGCCAAAAGCATTCATAACACCCCCTGGAATCTTTAAATGTGTATGACAGCCACTTTTGCAATGGGCTGAAGCCTGCATTCAGGAAGAGGGCCAGAACTTTGAATATTTACTGTCAAATCCATATCAGATTACATATGATAGTAAATCCAGGTACTGTAAATTGTACAAGCAACATTGGATATCTAATTTGTACTCTGTAGACTTTATCACATTCCAACCCCAACTGTAAGGTGTTATAACTCCAGAACTATAGGGTATTGACAAAATAGTCAGGAAGTAATTTATCCCTATGTATGTCTCAGGAATACATCCCCAGAAATATGAAATGCATTTCCAAAACACCCTGTATGGTATATCTTTGAAGCATGTTATCTCTCATAAGTAGTTTTCATTTTTTTAAAGCAGAAGTTTTCAAAAGTCCTACCAGTAATTTCTAGATCCTGCCTTATATATATATATATATTTCATGAGGAACTGGAACTCCAAGCTAAACATAAATTATAAAATAAGTATACAGTATACCTCTTGATTCTTCCTCAGGGTCAGATTCAACTGTAGGCTCATCATATTCCTCACTCTGATTGTTGGTTGACACATCGTCGGAATCCTTGGACATCTTCTCTTCTTTTGGTGACTTTCTGCAGTCACCTGTGAACCCTTGCTGCATACAAAATTTTTATTTTAATGGACAAGTAATAATAGTAATAATGTAGTTAAGACAAGTGTGTGCCTTAACTACCCACTGTATGACATTTTACCATAGAACATAAATTGCTCGTACATTTTTCATCAATTGCATGAGGTAAGACTTTATGTTCCGTGGTGAAATGTCATACAGGTAGCTAATTAAGGCGCACAAGTGGTCTTCATTATTACCGATGCTGCTATGTAATGCTGAGATGTACAAAGTGATAGAAAACTCAGATGTATATACAGTATTATGATAGATCAGCCCTCAAGGACGACAATACATACATTTTCTTAACCAATTCCACCCTCAGTTATCTCGTGTCAACTCACAATTAATAACCACCATCCACAGTAGTTTGCAAGTGCATGAAAATCCCAGGTGGCAAGGTTTCAGAGTAAACCCTACTACAAAAAGTTCTTCGGTTATCTAAAACCCCTAGACAACAGTCAATGACATCAAGAATTCAGGTAAAGTTTTCAGCCACATAATATATTAACTGTATTGTCCCATGTTGTTTAAGAGAAATTTAGTAACAAACCACATCTGCTGCAGAAATTTGTGAGAAAAAATTATGGTAATTGAGGGATAAGTGTGTGTTCTCATAACATAAGCCAACCTACTCATGTTTCTTTTGATGCATAGATTAGATTTCAGGTGATATGCAAGGAAAACAAATCTAAATTCATAATTGGTATCAATAAACTAATTAAGGGATCATTGATTTTTCCTTATTAGATTAGGTTAGTTTATAGTGCATGCTACTGTAGCTAAATACATTAATATCTCCGTTACCCGGAATCCCTCAAACCCGGAAGTCTCCGATTGCCGGAATTGAAATTTTCTTGGAAAATCATTCCCAAAGACGGATTTTCCAAAAAATTCCGGCTTTGGGAAAGAGTTTCCGAGGGGTACATTTTCCGAAAAATTCAGAGAAAATTTTCCTGATACCCGGAAAATTCCGGGGATAGGTTTTTTTTTTCCCCAGGTTTGAGAAATGAAAATCAAGTGCATTTTCTGTAAATCCTGAGAAAATTTTTCTGTTACCTGGAAAATTCTGGGGATGAGGGATTTTTTCTGGGTTTGAGAGATGATATGTAATGGGCAATTTCTGGAATTTCCGAGAAAATTTTTCCGTTACCCGGAAAATTCAGGGGATGAGGGATATTTTTCCGGGTTTGAGAGATGACGTAATGGGCAATTTCTGGAATGTCTGAAAACATTTTTACGTTACCCGGAAAATTCCGGGGATGAGGGATTTTATCCAGCTTTGAGGAATCATCTTGTTACCAGGAAATCTCTCATTCCCGGAAGTGCTGTGCACCAATTGTTCCAGCTAACGGAGATATCACTTTAGCTGAGTGCAATAGCCTGCCTTAACTCACATTGTTGACAAGACCACGACTCTCTGTACAGTACTAATATTTTAAAATAAATTTTGTAGGTTTACATTATCATTTTCTTATTCCATACCAAATTTATAAGCATTAAACAAATGTGGAAATGATTTTGTTAATTTCGCATAATAATAATTATAAATTGTAAATAAACCTCTTAATGACTTGCCCCCCAGATTCCTAAAGCACCTTCGGATATTCAGATGATGGGCTTGTGTGTGAATTCTATATGTAATAGGCTTGTTGTCAAGGGTAGGTCATGGATTTTTCACAATAATTAGTAGTCTGATGAGCGTAGGTACCAACAGATATTTCACTGGGTTTAAGACTAGTTAACTACTGTATTTCTCGTCAATTACTTTAATTTGGGGAAAATATTTTATATAAAAAACTAATAATAGATTACCATGGTTTAATAACTATTAATTATAAGAAGTAACACTGATATATATGAATACACCTTAATCTAATAAATTACTTAAAAGATACGTGTCAAACAGTGATTGGTTCCCGCGTTTTTGATCGGGATGTAGGCATGCCGGAAAAGAGAGCTGCTTAATCCACCACCATAACACGTACTACAACGAGAACCAACTTAACGTTTTATCTTTCATGTTTAACCAAGCTGACATTAATGTAGCTATTTTCAACAGTGGCTGAAGTGTTCCGAGAACTTCATTAAAGATTCATAGCCCCATATCCCCCATCCTGTGAGAAGCCTATGTATCTGATAGTCTAGGGTATATAAATGGCTTTGTAGAAGAGAGGGAGGAGGTAAGCCTTCATTGTTTAAATTTATGAAATTATTTATGGTATGGCAAAAAAAATACAAAAATGTATTCACTAAGCATCTAATAAAACTTAAAATATATGTATGGCACAGCTGAAGTAAACATTCACCAAACACAATCATGGAGGCAAAATTTACTATGACCTAACATTCTTTGGGTAAGTTTGTTTGCATTTGTTTAGGTTATATTAGGTTAAAATTGGTTACTCTACACGATCTGCTCTTATAAGCAGCCTAGTGCAATAACCCTTTCATTACGGGATGCCACTTTTAATACATTATTTGTATAACGCCACATGACTTCATTCAGCACACAAGGGGATTAACACAACAGCATGTCAACCAACGGATACACCCCATTTCGTCGCCAATCCTTTTTGTTACTGAGCCGGTTCGTTACCAAAACCCCATTTCATCACCAATATCAAATCCGTTTCGTCACCACTAACAGTCGCTGGTATTAGTGACAAACTGTAAGTTATTATTTTACACGAATAGAAATTACACATGTATACAGACGACTTAAGAAGTATTGTATTATTATAATACATGATTACTAATTATTTAATAAAGAAAACGATTAAAATATTGGTAACTAAACAAAATACAGAACAAATGAAGAATTATTGTGTTATTGTTATTATTATACATAAATATTAAATGTTTAATAAATAAAACGATTCAACATTGGTAAACAAAATACAGAACAAATGAAGGTGATTTGGCACCAGAGCATAAGCCACCGAGCAGTGAGATGATTGCAGGCGTATTAACAATGTTTTTATTTTTTATTTTTGTCTTAAATAAATTGTCTTCGTGTTTTTTATTATTTTCTATCCCAAGCAACAGATATTTTCGTGTATATATTACTTTTATCCTTTTCACCACTGATCGGTTCGTTAGCCGCTTGGGCGCTCGGTCACGTCTCTGTTATGCACTGTTGGCAAGTACTGGGCATGTACCGGCTCCTGGATATATTTGAACCCACTCCAGTGCTTATCCAGTCTGAGCATAAGCTAAAATTGTGCACAAGAAAAGCAAATCATGACAAACAAGTCCATCTCTGGAAGCTGTGGGATGAATATGAAGAAAAAATATCACCAATTATTCTAATTTCCTAAAAAAAAAAAGTCAGTGTCTTCTTCCAAGCTTGCATGAGTATTAACAATGTTTTTATTTTATATTTTCTTCTTTAATAAATTGTCTTAGTGTTTATGATTATTTTCTATCCCAAGCAACATATATTTTCTTGTATATATTGATGAGAATAAACGCAGTGACGAAACGGGTAAAGCAGTGGTTACGAAACGGGTTGGTGATGGTATAGGCAGACCCCCAACCAACATGGTCATTTCCTTCCTGTGGGGATTTAACATATGACTATGAACTCCAATTGTTTTAGCCATTCTCACCCCCTAAAAATTTATATTTTATGTGTTCAAATAAACGTATTAGTATCGAGACCAGCAAAATATTTACCATTAAACAAAGAAATGACACCTTCTCTACACCCTCACCCAACAGCCACTAGTTATATTACCAATATGTTAAATTAATGTGAATATAAAGTGGAGAAGAATAAAAAATAAAGATAGAAACGCAACCACATGGTGATACAACTTCTAGACATGAAAAACACAAATGCTCATTTTTAATTATTATTGACAAATGGGAAGGGTTCTTATATAGACACAATTATCACAAAATATCTTAACTTCTCACTCTCCTAACCTACATGAGATACCACAGGCCTTAAAACATATAAGAAATACATGCAAGAGTAAAATATACCGTATTAAGATGGAGATATTGGGAAAATAAGCGAGTCAAGAAATAGGTGTGTCAAGCTACCCTCTGACTGATCCGAGAATTGTTTACATTCACATTTTCTAATTGTTTACATTCACATTTTCTAAAAAGGACGATCTTATTCATTCATTGAGATTTTTATCAGTTTAATTTTAAATAACCATAACACATAAAAATAATAACATATATCTTACATAATAATATTTAAATCACAATGAAAGTATAAATATATAAAAGACTTTTATCTTTTTTTTATTTCAAGTAAAGCGGAGGTTATGGTTCTGTGCATCTGTTTTGTGGATGGCAGGTGTGTAGCGTCGTCAGCTCACGTACACTATATGAGATATGCCTCATTTACAAATTTTCTTGTTTAAAAAGATATATTAAGCAATATCGCTTATGTAAATTATGTACAGTATATAATTGTCTTCGCATTAGTACACACCCTTTATTGGTAATGTCCTCCCTCACCTCTCTTCCCTGCATGCCCCCTTCCTCCAGCAGATTCTTCCTTTTCACCTTCTTCCCCACCAATAACGGCCCCTCCCAGTGCACTTTCTCTCCCTTCCCCTGCAATATCTCTTCGTTCCCAGCATTTTTTTTACAAGTTCTCACCCCTGGTATCGTTTATATAAATATTTTTACTCACCATCATCATTATAGTATGAACAAGGTGACCCTGAAAGCTAGACAGAATTTTAATTTACCTCAGTGAACCATATCATGTTTAAGTACAATTTTCTATAATATTTTGCTTCCAATGTTGTCGTATGTACCTAAGTGTAGACATTTAAATATAAGACAAGGATAAAAGTGGTGAATTATACACGGAAGTAGTCTTTATATTTTAGGTTTCATCGCAGCCATAGTGAATAGCTATAAGACAACCTGTCGTCTGTCGTGAGCTAGTTCGGTATACTTTATGTAATATGCATCTCCGCTACTATTCACCAAGGGAAAATGTCACTGTTACCGTCTCTATTAGCAACAAACATAGGCATCGATCAAGTCATGGGAGGGGCAACTCCTGTCCTATCCGGCATCCATTTCTTGGCAACCGTCGACGCCTATACCTGTTATCACACACACACACTCTCGGGAAGCACTATGATATGATACCTGTTATCTATTGATATGATAACAAGGGAACCAGTTTGCAGGGTACGTGCATTTTGCCGTGCATTCCCAAGCCACCTGCTATTAGTTGAGTGAAGATCGATGATCGAATCAAACTCACTTAAAGAGTCACACCTTATGAAGGTCATCGGACAGAAATTACCATCGTTAGTTCTATTATTCTTAACTATACTTTAATCTTATGGGACACTCAATGAAATTTTCTCATAATTTATTCAGTTAATTTATCACTTCACTTATTAGTATATTAGCCATTCGGGCGGTAGGTCTATTCCTTTTTTCTTTGTTAACAACTTTATTGAGTATTAGCAGAGGATGAAATCAGAGTACCCTGAGAAAACCTGCCGTTTTCGTAGTGTCACTCCTGGTTAATACCCTTCTCACGTGTCATGGGTTAGGACTAGAATTCAGGACATAATAATGAGACATACTCGCTCCAACTGTACTGCTGCACAGTACCACAAACAGCCCAATTAACTCTTCAAAATACATAATCTTCAGATATTTTATGGGGAATAACTATATTATGATATAGTAAAAGCAAAAAAAACTTTTGGTTACAAACAAGTGCTGCATCTTGTACTGTACAACTAGTGTTACTGTTACATTATACATAAGATGACAGCAAGTGCAGACCGTGGTGGCCTGGTAGTGATCAAAGCCGACAGAAAAGACTGGTCGACATCAAGAAACAGAGGAAGGAACTATTACTCTCTCATATTGGTGTAGATGCTTTGTAGTATTTCGCACTAATTGTAGATGGCGCTGATCTAACTAAGTTTTGTAACTTCATGATTTTGTTCTTTTGACTTTATTTTTATCCTCTTCACCACTGATCGGCTCGTTAGCCGCTTGGGCGATCGGTCACGTCACTGTTAAGCACTGTTGGCAAGTACTGGGTATGCACCGGTTCCTGAATGTACCTGAACCTGCTCCAGTGTTGGTCAAGTCTGGTCTTGAAAGAGCTCACACTCGGTGGCGTCACAAAACTTTCTGGCAGATTGTTCCAAGAGTTCACAACTCTCACTCCGAAAAAGTTTGCCCTCACAGTTTTCTGGACCTGCGGCCTCTTCATTTTGAGCTGTGACCCCTTGTGGGGCGAGAGTCCGCCAGCTCGAAATTAAATAATATAACTATATTCAGTGCTGGGTTAATATGACCTTGAAATGAAGGTTTGAACCCACAAAACAGCGAAATACACCAGAAAAACGAGCTTTCATGCCAAAGTCCAAGTCATATTCTAAAACCAAAAATTTCTCAATGCTGTACCTAACCGTGATTTACCTAAGCAGCCTATCCAAACCTAGTTTTATTTCCCTCTTCCAAATCTGCAATTAAAAATTATGAGCTATAAATAGGAAAGGGTTACGAGTTTAACTGTGTTTACAGTAAGCGCTGGGTTTGTTTAGTTTTTTTTTTACAGGAATTAGCCCACCCGGGCACAGGTCGAACAACCTACAACAGGGCCCAGGGGGCGAAAAAATAAGAACAAAGAAATTAAAAATCGAGAAGAAAAAGGTTATTCTGTGTTAATCTACACCACGAAGATGCCGGAAAACCAGCTTTTTAAAGAAAGACAGATTGTATGAGTATGGAAACAAAGAAAAAGGCAAAGCATTCCACAGTTAGGGTGTGTGAGGGAAGAAGAATGTACTATAACGGGTTATTCTAGTGTGACCGACATCCATAGAGAAACGGTGAACACCGCGGGCAAGACGTGTGTGACGAGCCCACGGCCTTGCCGGCGGTACACACGATGCCAAATGCACCGAACATTGCCCGTTAAAGTACCTGTAAAAGAGAGAGTGAAGCAACATTGCGACGAAGAGAAAGGGAAGAAAGATTGCCAACTAAAGGAGGAGAGTTAATTAGACATTTTTACGTAGGAAATGGCAGTACTCGGAGGTCCGTGTGTCGCACACAATACAGTACTTATACATGAAGAAAAATTAAGAAAAATATTTCCAATGACATTGTAGTGCTCTCCCCTACAACTGCCACTGCCATTAGTCGCTGATCAGCTGATCCCGCTTCAAGTTTCTATGACAGGCCTAGCAGGGCCGGATTCAGGAGTGGGCAAAGTGGGCAGCTGCCCAGGGGCCTCCACAATCTGGGGCCTCCACATGTTACAATATTTTATTTATTTGTTTATTCATTTGGATTATTTTTATTTTCATTCTTTAAAATTCATGTTTATCTATTCCATCACGTAAAACTATGTTCAGCAAGAAGCGTGATAGAAATTAGGCTAGCTACTCCTTGAAATTCATGAATACCTGGTCTTCCTATGGACCGCATATTTTTAATGAATACTATTGTTTGTGTTGCTAATAATATATTTAGAATTCCACAAACATATATTGATTAAAAATGAACTACATGGAATAACGAAAATTGAGATTAAAAAAAAAACATTTTTTTTTCATTATCACTTCCATTACTAATGCCATCATGGCACTGTGTTCATTGACAGTCAGTCGGAGGGGGTTGGGTCGCGGGAGGCTTACAGCGCCCCCCAGAACTCCCAGATGATTAAGCTCGCTTCACTCGCCACTCCACCCTCTTGGGTAGTTATAATGAGGGGGGCCTCCACAAAGAGGCTGCCCATGGGCCTGTAGTGGACGTCTCCCCTACAAACTGCGTAACTGCACACCACCTGCTGCCGCCTCCCTAGCAACCAAGCGTATCCGCATTCCAATGCCCGCCGTATCCTAGCAACCGAGCCAAAAGGCCGGCGACTTCTCGGGTTTTCCCAACATGACTCATAGCGGCTGCTGGGTATATAAGCTCTGTCTCTCCATTGAGATTGATTCTGACCATTCTTCTTGAACAAGCAACACCTCCTCCGCCGCTGCCTGGTAGCCCTCGCTTACCCTCGCCTGCCTGGCGGTCCTCGCTCCCGCCAGCGAGCATGGCGACCCACCAGCTGTCTTCTGAGCTTCCTCACCAACCAACTCTCATTCTGCCCATCTTCCTGAACAAGCAACATCTCCAGCACTAGACTGTCTTCATATAACTTATATATTATACAAGAAAACCACATTAGAGTTTCCTTCCAACCTGAGTGCTAGACAACATTAATATCTCGATACCCCTACAATGGTGACTCCCGGAGATTAGCACTCACACAGGATGGAGGAGACACTGATCACGCTCCCAGTCTTCAAGCAGACACCGGCTCCTCTTCCTGCCCCACGCACCACATTCTGACGACCCCAGCACACCCGTCCTGCCTCAGACGCCGACCCCAGCCCAGCAGTACCTGCCGTGAAGGAAGCACACAACATCCATCGCCTCCACACCCCTCTTTTCTCCCTCAGGTACTCCCTGCTAATGTCCTGCACCCTGCTGCTGTCGTGGACCCAGCTGCTGTCACGAGCCCTAATCCGCTTCTGCTGACGCAGCCCCGGCTCCTGACCCAGGCCCACACACACCCCAGCAGGCGCATCTGACTACCCTGTACCTGTCGTGAGGGAAGCACACCATTCATCGCCTCCACACACCCTTTTTCTCCCTTCTCCCACAGATAGTGTGTACCTAGACAGTTGTATTTCAGCGATCGGCTCATCATGCCATCGCCGTTGTCTCACATGAGGCATGCACCGCCCGGTCTGCCTCACATGTGCTAAGCAACTCTACAATCAACAAGTCTCCTACACCGCCTGGAGGGAAGGGGGAGTATTGTAGTGGACGTCTCCCCTACAAACTGCATAGCTGCACACCACCTGCTACCGCCTCCCTAGCAACCAAGCGTATCCGCATTCCAATGCCCGCCATATCCTAGCAACCGAGCCAAAAGGCCGGCGACTTCTCGGGTTTTCCCAACATGACTCATAGCGGCTGCTGGGTATATAAGCTCTGTCTCTCCATTGAGATTGATTCTGACCATTCTTCTTGAACAAGCAACACCTCCTCCGCCGCTGCCTGGTAGCCCTCGCTTACCCTCGCCTGCCTGGCGGTCCTCGCTCCCGCCAGCGAGCATGGCGACCCACCAGCTGTCTTCTGAGCTTCCTCACCAACCAACTCTCATTCTGCCCATCTTCCTGAACAAGCAACATCTCCAGCACCAGACTGTCTTCATATAACTTATATATTATACAAGAAAACCACATTAGAGTTTCCTTCCATCCTGAGTGCTAGACAACATTAATATCTCGATACCCCTACAGGCCTCCACAGGTCTAAATCTGGCACTGATGCCTAGCCGTCTAGACTCGCAGGGGGGGGGGGTGTCGGTCACCAGCGACGCTTACTTCCGTTTTTACTTCCAGTGGACGTGTGTATAAGCTCACTGCCTCGCCGTGAAAGGCATTCTACCAAGAGCTCTGCAACACACAACACCTCCTCTAAAGAAGCTCCGGCACAGCAACTCCTCTACCACGCAGCAACTTCCCAGCACCAGACTGTTTTGTATATAATATATTGTATAGAGAAAACACCATAGCTGAGTTTCCCTTCTCACCTCCATCCTATGTGCGATTCAACATCACGAAACCCAACAATGGTAACCCCCGGAGAAACGTACTCACACAGGATGGATGAGAAACGATCACTCTCCCAGTCTTCAATCACAACATTGAAGACTGGCTAATCCACATGGAGGCAGCTCTCATCGGCTCAACAGCTACAGGCAAACAGAAGTACGTTGCCCTGGTCTGTTCCCTGCCCACAGAAGTCGCCACACAAGTTGCAGAAGTCATCACCAACCCTCCAGCTGACAACAAATTCTCAGCTCTACGAGATGCTCTCAAGAGGCGATACCAGCGGCCTGACACCAGTCTCCTGCAAGACCTATCCGGTCTTTCCCTCGGCAACTCAACACCTGCACGTCTCTGGGACGAGATGCGGAGACTGAACTCCCGCCACACAAACAGGCTTCTTGACACTATCCTGCACCAGCTTCACACCCAGGAGCTCCCTGCAGAAGTTCGTCTCGTCCTCTCGGCATTGGACTACTCTACTGCCTCGGTGACCTATGCAGCTACGGCAGACAGAGTATTCCACAAATACACTGTTGTGTGCCATGCTGCCGCGAACAACTCAGTGGCCACACCGTCACTTAGCCCCGGTCTCGTCAACCAGATCAACGCTCCTCAGAGAAGTATTATTCCACCAGACAAAGAAGACTTGAGGGACACAATTTATATATAAACGACACGACACGACACGACATAACAAAAATTTGTACCTGGTATCCAGTTGGTATCTAATTCAATCCATCCTTTGTTTACAGTCTTAAATTTCTTGTGAGAGAGAGAGAGAGAGAGAGAGAGAGAGAGAGAGAGAGAGAGAGAGAGAGAAAGACACTAATGCTTCTTCCCTTTCTCTCATACGTCACTAAATCCACTGGGTACAAATAATCAAATCTTTTGGTGTTAGAACAGAGGATTAGTTAAGATTTAAGAGGATTATTACTGATAAATAATGAGATTTAATTTTCTCTTTGTGGTACTCTGTTCTAATGACACTGTAAACGTGATGGGGAAGGAGGAAGGGGGAAGGGGGATACAGGAAGGGGAAAGGGGAGGGGAAGAGAAAGAGGAAGGGGGAAAGGCGAAGGGCAAAAAGAGAGGGGAAGGGAGAAAGGGGCAAAGAGGAAAGGGGAACGGGCAAAGAGGAAAGAGGGGAGATGAAAGGGAACGGGAAAAGAGAAAGAGGAAAGGGGGCAGAGAAAGGGGAACGGGAAAAGAGATAAAGAGGAAAGATGGAAAAAGAAAAATACAAAGGGCGAAAGAGAAAGAATGGGATAAAATAATACATATGGAAATAATAGAAAGACGAGAGCACAGGGGAGGTTTCAATGTTTTTTTAGTAATTTATCATTCAAGATATAAATATGTTATCTTCGTGTTTTTTTTATTTGTTAAACAAATATAAGTGGTTAAATGTTTTGAAGGTAATTTATTAAACACACCAAACATAATTTGAGTGCATGCTTGAAGACTTTGTCAAGTGTAGTGTACGTACAGTACAGTGTTTGGTCCATACCATGTACTGTACTAAAGATGAAACTTAACAATTATATTACAGTATTTATTTCTTGGCTTTTGATCTTTCAGGAAAGGATGACAATGACATTTCCCCACTGGATGATGATGGTAATAATGTTTATGATATGAAGACTGATTTAGAAGCTGTCTGGAAGGGCATGGAAGCTCAGGTTTGTGTTATGGAACAATCTCGTTACAGATACTCTTAACAATTTAGGAAGTTCAAAAGTCTAATAAGAATTACACTAATGTTAGAGTATATAATATTGCTGAAAACCTCATTTTTATTTTGAGTACCGGGTAAGAGATTAATTAATATGGTAAACATTAAGTGGAAGAAAATCTAGTTCCATCTATACCAGGAGTGAGCAAAATATGGCCCAAGGAATGCTAATGTGTCTATTAACTTTGGAAAAATTATAGTTTTTCCAATCCCAATCATAGCAGCAATACTGTACCTGGCTCCATCTTGACACTTAATATGACCTGACACAAGCTACAGTTCAGGGGAGTGTGGGAGACTGTAATACATATCTTTATCTGAGATGATCTTATTTAACCATTAAGTCAATATGAGAGACCAAGAGTCGGTATTTATGTCATGGGTGGCTAATCATTTATCCCGACTTATAGGTAATTTTAATTAGAACATAGTTTTTCTCTGGGCTTCTCACTGAACAGGACATTATTGCAATTTTTCCCCTGCTGTTTATTTTTGTGCATAGGTTTGCTAATTACTGTATATATTCATTCGACCCACAACCAGTGCCTAGGGACATTGAATGCCGAGAATTCAACAAGGAATGGACTTCTAAAATTTGTTTTTACAGACTAAGAAAAAATAAAGAAGGCTAATGATACAGTAGTATATGGTAATTATTCAAAGGAAAGAAAGAGAAGAGTATTTTCACAATACAATGTGCATCCCAAGATAATATCATGAGTGAATTACAGGGTTGCACACAAAATTGCCAAGAACAGCAAGGAATGTATGGTTGAATGGTTCTTATTTTATGTCCAGACAAGAAGAACCAGTTTGAGAAAATTAATCTGTCAAGGCAAAGTACTGTACAGTGGTCCCTTGGTTAACGAAGACAATTCGTTCCACTGGGTCGTTCGTTAACCGAAAATTTTGTTAACTGAATCCATTGTTTCTTTTGCAAGGTTGATGCTGGGAAAGCCAAGAATATAGGACTGTCTAACTTCAATAGTAAGCAGATAGAGAGAATTGTTAAGGGTAGGTGTTAGTATGAGTGAATTGGGGTCACAATACTGTATAATTTTATTTCATAACATTTACTGTACTTAACATCCTAACAATTTATAAATCACTTCTAAGGTAGCACATTTCTTCCTCTTATGTTGAGTACATTTCTAATATAATTATCCCCAAAATAGAAAATAAGTATGTTCATATAATGCACAGGTATCCCTCATTAAATAGTGGGGATGTTCCAGAAAAACATAACGTTGAGCAAAATTATCGATAAAGGAGGAATAATACCTGTGGAGATGGCATGTAATTGTGTAGCCAACCGCAGGTGAGGCTGAACTGTGAGCAATGTTATTGTTCAACTTGTAATTTTGTGGAGATACAGTACGTATATGTAAATTTTGTATTACTCTGTTACATGCACACACAATTGTTCAAACAGAATGTGCAATAAAAAAAAAATTATCATAAGGTCCAAAACATAAAAGGGAATAAACATTTCTTACGTGCGTGGGAGTTAGCATACAGAGTACGGGAGTGGCGTGGGGGATCTCTGCTGTTCACTGCCTTGCGTCCCGTGTGTAATGAAACGATTGTCAAATAGTAACACAGTAATTTTTTATTATTTTTATTTATTCCTCATGTTTACTGGTACAGTATACACGTGACACAGTTCAGCCGGGCAGTCACCAAGCTGACTCAAGAAACTTATATGACTGCAGCCTGTATGCTGTGACATCACATAGGGGGGAGGGAGAGTGTGGTTGGCTCCAGTTACAGCTCATTGCCTCAATACATGTGTTCTCTTCCCAAATATACACACCCATGCTCTTAACTTTCCTATTTTATAGTTTATATTATGTCTTCTTTATTTCTAAACCACATTAGAGTACTGTACTGTAGTGTAATGATGCACACTTGGAGCACAGAATACCCAGTTTTCAACTTTCCTGAGGAGTTTTCCCAGCGAGTCGAACATTGCTTAATTGAATTTTGACCAATCATTAAACAAACCAAATATTGCTAAGTGAATGCACATTAAATGAGGGATACCTGTACAGGAATGTATTATATAATATAATGCAGCAGTGTTGTAGGTATAGAGACAGCAGTACAGTAATATGATTTTATTAACTGCATTAAGTTTCTCCTAATGGGATCAGGGGCACGGATTCAGCCAGCAAACTTACAAATTGAGGTTCAAGCATATCACATGCAGAAAAACCTCCAAGAGGTGTGTCAGAAGTTTGGAATCAGCGTATGTGCTTTTGGACCCCTTGGTGCTCCTTACAGGGAAGTAGGGTATGTGCAGTAAAAACTTATATGCAGTATTGTCACTCAAAATATTTTGGATGATGATGCTGTGTCTGTGTCTTGTGGTTTGAGATACAAGTACATTGAAGAGTAAATAAAAAGTTGTTAAATACAATTTTGAATAATAGTTAATGAATAATAAATATCATAGGTGATGTATTAAATATAATTCATAAATTATATTTTTCATGGCTAAGAAAATTTCATACATGTAAAGGGTCAGTCATAATATTGTACAGAATAATACTGTAGATGCATTCATTATAAATTGTCTTACAGAACAAGGGAATTCCCTCCTCTTTTGGAACATCCAATTGTGAACAAAATTGCTCAGAGCCACAACAGGACAACAGCTCAGGTTCTTTTGCGACACTGGTGCAACATGACATCATTGTTATTCCCAAGTCAGCTAAGGCAGAGCGTGTTGTGCAAAATTTCCAGGTAAAACTGTATAAATTTATAGTCTACAAATTAAATAACTTAATCCATGTAACAATCATATATTATGTACTCCTGCTCATCAGCTCTTCATGTTGCCATTAATTAACACACAAATAAACTGTATATTCAACTACCTACAGTAAATCTTTGGTGGTCCAGACTTTGGTTAATCTGAACTATCTTTTCAGGCATGAGCCATTAGCAAGAGTCCACAAAACTTTTCCCCTTTTCTAACTTTTAACCAACATAAAGTGTTTAAATGGGTCCCAAGACAGGAAGGATTGAAGGAAGAAAAAATATATATAATATGCAACTGTTGAAGACAAGTTGAAAATAAAAAAGAAGTTTGAAATGAGCATTTCTGGAGCAAAGACCAAGCAGTAATTTACTAAACATGTCTGATATTAAGAAAACAGACACAATGAAGCAATTTATATTTAAGTTCCTTCCTAGTACCATGAGTTGCTGTTATGTAATTCTGAGGACGTTCTTAAGTCGGATTGTTACGCAAGTCAGAACACATACTATGTGCATACTGTACTTGCAGAGAAATGTTCAAGATCCCACTCTATCATACTGTAAGTCCTAATTTTGTACATCTAAGATAACTAATTTAAGACAAAAGAACAAATAGAATGACAAAATACCGTAAAATGAAAGTAAGACATAAGTCATCAGGTAAGTAAAATACTGTACTGTAAATTTTAAGTTAACCCCATTCATATCTGTTATTGATCATTTACAGGGTTAATATCAAGAGTTATTTGGATCGAATAGATTTATTATGCTTCAGTTACTTGAATATTGCATTCTTTTCTATACTTTGAACAGCCTGGACATTTTCCTCCTTCTTCTAATTGATTTGGACGATAGAGGTTTCACTTTTTATCATACTCTCTATCACTTCTCCTAATTTAAGACTTTTTGTGCAGATTCTGGACTTAGAGTTGAGTGCAGAGGAGATGGCATCAATGGATAGTCTAGACCGAGGAAGTGATGGCAGGATATTTAACATGCTAACAACTAAAGGAGGGTACAGTACAGTATACTTGAATCTTTGTTGCTGGGTCAGGTTTTTTATTTATTTTTTCATACATTTTTTGCAGTAAGGTAAATTGCTTAAAGTGATAGAATTATATTTTATCAGTATCCATAATCATTTCATTATGGTTATAATTTATAGTGGCTAGAAAAAATATCTTGATTATATGGTTTAAATGGGGAGTGAAATGATCCAAAATAATATCCTTTTTGGCAGTGTTAATTTTTTCCAAACATTCCAAGATGTACAGGAGGACTTGTTGGGGTATCTGCTTTGTCAGCATGTTAAAAGATCCCTGTGCTTGCTTATAAATTTTCTAAATTAAATAATATAGGAGATGAATAAGGTGGATAATGATGGGTACCTGGTATCCAATTGTACCATTGATAAAAAAAGAGACAATATTTGGAAAATATAGCTCAATGAATGAACATTTGCCTCCCAAGAATATGGTTGCAGGTTAGATTCTTTGTTGTACACAGTAATTATAAGCCAATACTAAATATACCACTCAGTGAAATAAATACATGCAGAACAGTAAAGTAATAATTTTATACCTGTACTGATGATAATCTGGATTAGATTAGAAACAAAGTGAACTGTATGATATTAGTCAACATATATAATAAATATATTACTGTACTAACATGTTGATTTCCATTCTGTAATGGAAGGTATGATCTCTACAGTGGTAATGCACATATACTGTAGTATATCTTACCACTATATCAAGTGTGACACTTCCAATACATCACTCATACTAACACTGGACATTAAAGTTCATAACAAGGAACAGACCAACTACCTAAGTGGCTACTAAGCTGATAAATGATGAAATGATAAAAAAACCCACTTCAACCACGATGAGCTATTACATTATTCTAAATTCCCATGGCTTTGTTTACATGGCACAAATGTTGCTGTCAGTCAGGTGACACTACTCTCACGTTCTCATGCGTTGCCGTCAGTGTCCACACCTCCCAAGCTTTTGTTCACTTCCAAATTTCACTTTTTCTAATAACTTTACTCCTATATCGTACTGTACAGAGGGTCCTCATTATATGTTGGGGATGTGTTCCAGAGAAGTGATTTATAATAAAGAATATTTTCCCCCAAAATTAATGTAATTAGGGATACAGTATATGCATTCCAACATGTACAGTAATACCCTTTGAAATCTCTGAAAATCAGCTCACTATGAGATCATTATTATTATATTACTGGATACTGTATTTATTAGATATGGAGATTCTGCACATTCCCAACAACTTTTTTGTTACCTTTGAGATTTGGCTACTTGTACACTTAAGACAACTAACTGATTATCTATAAATGCACTACAATATTATTTATTAAGTGCTGGTAGTTAAAACGATATCAATAAAAAATTACAAAAATGGTGAGAATTTTTTTTTTATCGTAAATTGAATCATGGGACAAAATATATTATTGTTATTGTATATTTTTTTAATTAATACTGTATATTTTTTTAAATATAAAATTGGATTTTCCTAAACTGAACCTTGATAAATTGGGGAGCTGCCTGTAGACCACTAGTTTTGTAAATAATTTTACCTTGCACCTTGAATGTATCTTTAGCTAGGCTGATAAACTTTTTGTAACTTAGCATACTCCTCTGAACAATGTCCACTTCTCAGCTATTACCTGAACCAGTGTATTAACTTTGCTTAAAGGGGTCATTAATGAGGAGAGGGTGTTGGTAGTAGAGTAGTAACAAGCGTAACTCATCACTATGTCATGGGTCCGAGTCCTGGCCCAAGACGCATATGGGAAGGGTGTTATCCAGTGTGACACTATAAAACATTGCAGGTTTTCTCCTGTACTAACATTAGACAATAAAGATCATAACAAAGAATGTATCAACTACCCAAATGGCTAGTGGGCAATTGCTAAAATGAAAAAAAAAATAATATAAGGTTTAGTCCAAAATTGCTTTCATACAATTAAGAATGATAGTCAGATTAATTTGGCTATAATTACTGTAATATTTCTTACAATTAGAATGGGGAAATGCATTTTTCTTATTTTATATTTTGTAGCAGTGCACACTTTCTGTAATTTTCATCTCTTTCCAGAATCCCTGAACACCCAGTGGCCATTCCATATACCTTTTTGGAAATCTAGGCTTTTCCTTTTCAACACACACAGAAGAATGATCAAGTTGTTAATTATGAATATTTCATATTTTGTAAACTTGCTTCATTTTACTTTCACTGTTGTTTAAAAGTTAATATTAAGTAATGTACTTTCATAGAGAGCATTTTCAGAAAGATATCATCAGTGATATTAAAAAACCACATGTATAGTATATATCAGGTGCCTCAAAGAGATCTCAGGTTCTCAACTGGCTCAGCCATGTTAATATTGTTATTATTATCCACTCTGTATCTGTATTTTTCTGGCTAAATAAAAATGTTTCAATTAAAAATGTTTCAATGTTTCAACAATATCTTTTTATTCCAACAAATGGATTTCACCTATACCTTAAACACAAACTTATTACTAATGGACTTTGTATAATAGTAGGTTAGGACTTGTTACAAAATGCCATTGTTCTTTGTAAAGTTTCATTAAACTTCCTAAGAAAATGAAATACTGTTTACACTGTACAGTACTATGAGAAGTTTGTTATATGACCTTCTGGATTACAGGTATACAGGAATAGCAGATCTCCTAAGAATATTCAAAGTAACCTACCAACTATTTATGAGGTCAATCTGCACCTAACAGTAACCTCTTGCACATTACATGATTAGTAACTAATATACTGTATTACAGGTACTCTAAAATTCCTGTCATCACCCTTCACATTTTGCAGGATCCTTTGTACTTCTTCTTATGAGCTCCCACATCTTAGTTACCTCCCTAATTTCTCCTATTTAAATTTATCAACTCCCTCATGCTTCAGTAACCACAATTTCACATTCTGTCGTTGTCCTCCATGATAAAGGCCCATGCCGTTGGAACGAACTACTCGATGGCAAGGGACAATTATACTATTTGGGTTGTTGCGCATGGCAGAGCCAACAGCTCTCGCGGCTCCTGAAGAAGAATACAAATTATGATACTTTTTTCAGTGCTCATGTGTATTTTTGAGATTTCAATGTAAATTATAACAACTATATTCAGATAGGAAGCATGCTTAAACACAAGGACCTAAATACTATTGTCTATGTTACTATGTAGCATATTTCTACTTGATGCCTAAGCCTGTTTCTGTCTTCTCTACATTTGCATCACTCACCACTAACATTTCCCCACTTTTTTTAGGTTTCTGTAACCTTTGATAAATCCCATACAAAAATAGAAGAGGAATATATAGTAGGTACAGTACTACATAAATCTTATCCTTTATGTTCCAAATTCTTTTTTTTTCTTTTAAGCAGAAAACATTATCTGGTTCTGATCCTTTATCATTCACATATTATTATGATGAATTTGCCTCAATTGCTCATGGAATCTTGAGGCCTTACAAACTTTTGGATCAACAACTGTTTTAAGAGTTTCAACCTTAGCTTCAAGTTTTCAACAGTAGTTTACCGAGTGAAGAGTTGTAAACAGCACTGACATGCCTGGACAGTGAAACCTGCTACTGGAGCACGTTAAGTCCCCCTGGCTCCAGTGGAGATATGTTATTTTTCTCTTTCCTTTGGACAAAAAAATATATTTCATACTTCAATTTTGTATTTACTGTACTGTATGTTAACCCATATTGAAGAAGTAAGTTATTTACTGTATAGGTAGCCCTTGCTATATGAATGGGTTAGGTTCCTGAAAAACCATTGTTAAGTGAATTTTTGTATAGCTAATAAAAGAACATATGGGAAAATAGGGTTTGGTTCCCCAAAGGCAAGAAAACCTCATTAAAATGAAATCAGTTTCCAAACAACAACTTATTTAACTAATGATAAATAGTACACAGCTACTGTAATTTACTACATAACTCATTAAAAACATTAACAAAATACTATTTAAATGAAAATATGAAGCTAAAACTATTAAGGAAAAGGTAAATCAAAGTTTAACACAGCTGCCGGCTGCATCATCCATGGCCGCCCACAAGCCTCGCCATAACCCAGAAAGTTAAGTGTATTTGGCCAAAATTAAGAGTTGAAAAATAACCATAACATAACTCCCCCAGCTCATCCTGCTAACTCTCTCACTGGTGCACAAAGGAATGTTTATTCCCTTTATGTTTTTGGCATTTTTTTTTTGTATAGTATGTAGGATTGTGTGTGCAGGGAACTGGAAAAAAGTTACCTACCAGAAATTACAAGTTGCAAAATAACCATAATACAGGGTGTCCATAAATGATTACCCTGATTAAAGCATGGTCTACCACTGCTTTTAAGGTAATCATTTATGGACACCCTGTATAGCTTCTACCTTAGCTTGGTAGTCAGAGCGCTAGGGCGATGTGGCTGCCCCAGTGGACTCCTGTGAGTACGCGAATTGAATTTTTGACGGGACTCAAATTCGTGTAAGCAAGGGAAGTATCATGAAAGGAAATTCTCAGAAACGAATTTTTGTATCTCAAACATGCATATAACGAGGGATACCTGTATAATGTTAACCCACGTGGAAAAAGTAAGTCTAACCGTAGATGGCGGGACAAAATAAAAAGGCTGACAGTGATGATTACACTTGACTCTGCAATGGCTGGCTCACTGCCTGAGATAACCTACACATGGTGGGAATTGGGGGTTGAAGATTAGCATTACTGATTTTATGTATTTACCAGAGAACTTTAAAATCACCAAACATTGCTTAACACAGGCTTCTACCAGGTATAATTTGAATACAAAAACAAGTCATGAGTTTTGGTAGCATACGGTGGTAATAAAATAAAGTAGCACAAGAATCATAGCTGTAAAATAATGCTGAGTCAAACTATATCAGAATCCAATGTCTTGCTCAGGATAGCTACATCTTGAAAAAAGTGTGGGTCAGTCAATCATGACTCAGGGATAGGAATATATGGTAGTGTATGCGAGCTTGACCCATGCCAACTCAAGCACAAGAAATTTTGTGTTAGCATGCTGACGAAGCTTTCATTTCTCACCTGGATTCTTCAGTCTAGCTGCGAGAGCCCCATAAGTGATAACCTCTCCTGGACCAACAGTATCTGCAAGAGTCTGCCAAACTCGGGCATGAAACCCTGCAGAAAATTATAGAATTATAGTTAGTTGTTCACTTGAAAGTTGAAACTGCAATAAAGGAGTTTCTCTAAAATACATGTAGTTATTTGGCATCTTCTAGCTACATCCAGGCACATGGTGGTTAATTTCCAAGAATATAATGTATACAACAAAAACTAAGTACAATATCAGTAATACAAACTAGCTGCTACAAATTTGTATGAAGAAAATAATGTACTTGGTGTAAAGACTCAAAACTGAAAAAGCAAATAACAGGGAGTGACAGTAACTTATAATTTAATTTATATCATCATTACTTTATGGCAGTTTTCTACACTTGCAGTTAAGCTGTGATAGTTTCTTTATTCTGAGATAAAATTTCTTACAATCTCTCTCCATGTCATTCTTGGTAAACCCATGGCTCTCCTCCCATCCACATTCAGACTCTTGCACCTATAGATCCAATCGGATTTCTTTCTTTCAGTCTCATTATATATCTACCTCACCATCTTAATTTCAGCTTGCTGAAGCCTATGTATGTCATCCACTCTAACTGCCATACAACATCACATTTGTCACATCTGTTGCATTCATCTTTCCTTTCACACGAAGAGAAGGCCCTGTTGTCGACAATAAAGGCAACAACAACCAAGATTTCCTCAAGCCACTTTTGACTCTTGCAACTGAGCAAGTTTCAGTACCACCTCTAGCACTGTCCCATGTCACCCAAGAATAACAGAACTTATCAACACAGTTCAGGTCTATATCCCTATTGCTGACTTTCTCCAGCCTTGCTAAATCCACACAATTATCTGTACAAACAGGTTACTTAAATTAGCAACATCCTGGAGTCTGCCATTTATGTGACAGCACCTCTTGTGTACCCATTTTCCATACTCACTACACATTACGGTTCCTGCCAACAACTTTTTACAGACTGCACATGTCATTTTCCACTTTCCACCATGCTTCCTTCACCCATGCCACTAATAAACTGTTAGAGGTATTATCATATCTTTTCTTTGATATACTGTAACTAGCCAGCATAAACATTTATATATAGAATGTACAAACAAAGATCTGTGTCTAGAAACATTAGGCAAACACTGAGCTCCAACCCAGGTGGTGGAACATGAACTGTACATCTAGGCAAAGAGAGTATGCCTGTCCCTGATTACTGCTTCATTCAGTATCTTGAGAGACCCTGGCAGACCATGAGTGGAGCGCAGCAGAGATAAAACTGAACATCACATCACCACCTATACTTCCTCCTAAATTTGATAACAGCTACAGTTTTGTGATAGGTAACCGAGTACCGTGTTAAATAATAATGCCCCCTTAAATTTGATGACTATATTGTTTCATTACTGAACTAAGACCTGAAATATTTTGTTCATGCCAGCAACAACTCTGTGCAAGTAGGCAAACATTTGGGACAAACTACAAATTGGGTTAACAGTTTTTCTATTATATTATATAAATGTAGTTTTTGTTCCCAGAGCATAAACTGAATCAAGTCAGTTTGGCTGGAGTTTGGTTCATATGAAAACTCTGTATTTGGTAATTAAAATGTTAGGGAAGTACTTTACTAAATTTGAAGAGCATCACTTGTATCTATCAAGATACCGTTCAGAAATAAAGAACCCCACTGAAGAAATTTAGGTTTCAAACTACATCATACAAACATAGGGTTACCTGATGAGCTATGGCAAGAGCAAGTACAGTACCTACTCTATGTAAAATCTACAGAAACAATAGGCTATTGGTAATGTAATGAAAATAATAACACCCATATTTCGTTGGCTATATTTCAAATACTAAATCTGATGTAATTCATACCTAAATAATTTTTCATTAACATCATCATACAGAAATTTTCCATGCTAGTGTAGATTAGCTATGAAAACCTGATGGCACCACCGCAAACCAAAGTATAGGGAGTCCTCATTGTTCATTGGGGATGCGTTTCTGATGACCACAACTAACGACGAAAGGACGAATAACGGGGTCGATTAACCCATTGATTTACATGTTAAACATGGAAGATATGTTTTGACCACATAATATTACTTAGAATTTTTATAAAATGTATTAATCTACAGCACAAGTAATAATGTTCCGTAAACCGTCGGTACAGCTGGCACCGTGCCACAACTGGGAGTTATATGTTATGTTATGGTCATTTTTTAATTCTTAAATTAGGGTAGATATATGTAGAGTAATTTTCTTCCCATTGTTTACTCAGTTACATGTGCAAACAATCTTACATATAGAACATATCAAACAAATTAAAGAAAAAATTATCATAAGCTATAAATTTAAAAGTAACTTTGGGTTTTCACTGTGTGGAGTCAACGAATCGGATAGTGCCACAAAGAACTATCGTATGCTGGGGAAAACTACTGCATCATATGCTGGACAGATAGAAATACAGTATTATACAGTTTTCGTATAGTTGGACAACCTGTACACACAATTTATTTATTTTTGTTTAATTGTTAATTTCATTACCTGCATTGCAAATGACAAATGCAACAATAGACCAGGGAATGGGCACAGCTCTGGTGATCTGGTTGCCATCAAGAATGTTGAAAAATAGTTTTTGGCTGGATGCCCTTCCTTATGCTAATCCATAAACAGCACTCCACTAGCTGCAAGCATAAGCTTACCATCTTCGCTCAGGTGCTTCCACGAGAATTTAAGTTTTCCCATTTTTTGTATCTACAATTTCTAAATAATTTACGAAGACGACCAGAATCTGGAACAATACAGACTCCCTCATGCAGTGTCATTCAGTACCGTACAGGGGTATTGTACTTCCATTCACTAATGATATAAAATTAATATTATTTCCTCAGTAATACCATAATTTAGAGGAAAAAAATAGCAACTTGCCAAGACTTGATTGTTTGAAGCAACATATTTCTGGCCTGGGCACAGTAGCCACAAGCTCTGGATCCTTGAAGAACACCTGGAACCACGTAAGACTTTCCTGAATCACTTTTGGTAGATTACTTGTATCATCTTCTTGCAATAGCTGCACCTCAGTCCTGTACAAAACACAACAGTAGAAAAGTCCTCTCTTCAATTTTACATTACATATTTACATATTCTTCAAGTACAGTAAAGTACAATAATATCTCGGTTAGCCGGAATCCCTCTTGACTGGAACTCTCCAACAGCCAGAATTGAAATTTTCCGGTAAATTCCGGCTTTGGGAACAATTTTCCAAGGGGAACATTTTCTGGAAAATTCTGAGAAAATTTTCCCAGAATCTGGAAAATTTAGGGGTTGAAGAATTTTTTTTTCCGGGTTCAAGAGATGATATAATGTGCAATTTGTGGAACTTCTGAGAAAATTTTTCCGTTACTCGGAAAATTCCAGGAATGAGGGATTTTTTCTGGCTTTGAGAGAGTCGTCTCATTACCAGGAAATCTCTCATTCTCGGAAGTGCTCTGCACCAATTGTTCTGGCTAATGGAGATAACACTGCATGTGCTATGCAGTACTGTATACTGTATATTTCTTCTTTCAACCAATACCTGGTTTATGTCAATACAGGGTATGTGTACCTTGCAGCTCAAGCATCATCAGGTAAAGAAGGGAATAGGTTTCCTTAATAAACAAGTCAGTACAGTTACTGTTTACTGTACACACCTTAAGTAACATTAAAAACCACATAAATTTTATATGATCTTTACAATACAAATAAAAATTATGAGATTTTCAGTTCAGTACTGCATAACCACAGCAAAAATAAAAACTTCTTATAAATTTTTTAATGTATGATCTTTACAATACAAATCAAACAAAACAAAATTATAATTTTTCTTTTTACAACTTACACTTGCAGGAGATGTCAGTGTAAAACTACAGTATGATAACTATCCAGCATGGTATTTTGGTCAATTAGTATGGGAGGGAGCGGTACATGTGTGCATTATCAAAAAGCACAGTGCTATACACTATACATTATGGAGAGGGATGTGCAATTGGGTTGCATGAAATAACAAGAGTAAACTATGAGTACATAATTATGTATTTTAATATAATTTATCATTTCACCACTTATCAGCTTGCTAGCTGTTCGGGCAGTTAGTCTACGAGCTATTTGTTACTTTGTTATGACTTTCATTGTCCAGAGTAAATACAGCAGGAAATCTGAGTACCTGATATGTTTGGTAGGTCACATTGGATAACACACTTCTTATGTCTGACACAGGCCAGGAATTATATATATAGTGTTGATAGTTGAAACAGATAGGCTATACTTTGGGCATGTACTAATTTTTTGATGACACAGAGATTATTACAGAAATAAAAATGACAGGATTCACCATTGAGAGGGAGTAAGTGACATCTCACACTGAAACTTAGGGGTATACCAACCAAAAATAATTCAGAAACACTGCTGAAAAAGAACAAATGTGTCTGTGTGTGTGAGAGAGAGATTTAGCAGTTAAGGAAATTGGTCAGTGAATTTGAAACAGTACTGCATCTTCAAAATCTCACACCACCTTAAGACTTTTCCATTGCTACAATTTAAAATGCTTGCCGAAATGCTTTGACATGATCCCCAGTGCATCATCATAAAGTTGGTATGCCAGCTCGCCATATTAGTCGTCCTTGTATGGCATACTAGATACTTCAATATAAAAAGAAATCCATTAAGCTATATTAATGTACGTATATACTCTCTCTTTCTCAAAGGTCATGGATGTAGAACTACCAAACGTTCAGACACAGGTCGTGTAAGATTGCTCGGCAAGCCTTGAATCACATCAATTTCATGGCTAATGATACTTTTCTTGGGTACTGTACATAACATTTTAACAATTTAAACAGCCAAAGCTTAGGTCTTCATAAGAGTAACAGATAACATTAAGGCAGTCCCTGATTTACAAAGATCCAGTTTACAAAAATCAGAAGTTACACAGATTTCAATTTAGGTAAGAAAAATTTGAAGCTAAATTTTTTTTGCTCCTTTTCAAATTCTTTTGGCAGCATTGGAAGATTTTAAGGTGCTGACATAGGCATGCTAGAGGTTCCTGCACCAGACCTGGTTAGTTTATAAAGACAATTAGCCTAAAACAATATACTGTACTGTACTGTATTGTACAATACAGTATTGAACAGTTCTGAGATTGGTTCACTAAGCTATAAATAAAAATACATTCTTGTATAGTATTCTGTACTGTAGTGTTTTAGTTATCATGGCTCAGTGTGGCAAGATGCTAACTCAAGATTTACCTACCGACCTTACCTATTGGCCACCCACTAGAGGTGGCCATGCTGAGGGAAGGAGACCAGTGGCCCATGTAGGATTCTTACAATGTTCTTGATAATTTTGTTATGGGCAGTTTTGAAGCCCAGATATTTTCACTGTGGGAATGATGATGTGTTTAATATCTCAAAAGTTTAAACCGTCAAAAATTAAATCCTGAGAAAGCAAAACATCTCAAAATGTAAACAGGTATACTGTACAGTATATACAGAGCAGTAGACTTATTGCTGGTGCATCACCACAAAATTAAAGTCATACCGGTATACAGTATCTTGGGTGAACCTCGCACTGCATCACAACTAGTGATGAAGTTTCTAAATACTGTAAGTTTCAAAAACTACAATTTCTCGTTAGGATAAAATTATTACTGTATGGCAAGCACTTCCCTTAATACATTATATTTACAAAAACTTGTCACTAGAAACATATTTTGTAGCAGTCTAAGATGTTTTGGGGATTTTTTTTTTTGTTCTTACCAATGTATCTCAGCTTTTATAATGGGAGTCTAAGGAAAAATGGAATCCAATGTACAAAAAATTATTTACGTAAGGTTTTCATGAACAAAGCCATTCCGTAAATCAGAGACTACCTGTAATACAGTACCTTTCACAAACCATCCTCAGAATTACTATATGGTACCTTTCATTTGGAGAAAAATTCTCATCAGATATATTTCCTGCCAGTTCCACTGCATGCAAGCCTTTAGCACAAGCTGTTATGATGATATAACCAAGAGGAGATGAGAAGCGGTACTTTACTCCAGAGGACCCACAAGAGCCCCGCTCCTTCTTCACAGTGCTATTTGATGACATCTGGTGAATAAAGGAATATACATACAGTACTGTACTGTACATGTACTGTAATTACATTAATGGGAGAGAGTCCTAAAGGAGGCTATTTAAGCTTCACTGATAAATGTAGATAATAATGGTACCAAGTGTTATACACATCTGATTGTAGAAATAGTGAACCTTTGAGCATGAGTATTAACAATTATATAAAGTACCAGATATTTAATTAATGGGAATGTTTAGTGGTTCGTTCTTGCTAAGACCACACATGGTTCAGAGATGGTTTGTTTTCACTCAACAGAGGCTGAGAGTGGCCAACTGGTGGCCATGGCAACACATGCACTTCCTGCTGTCATCATTCATATATATATATATATATATAAATACTGTATATGATATACAGTACATTGGTGGGTTGGCCTGCAGAAAAATACCCATGGAGAGACCTAATCAGGCTAGAAGAAATAGATAGAACAGACAGCCTGGCACGATGAATGAGGTACAGTACTATGAAGAGAGACAGTCTGTCAACAAGGAAGAAACATTTAACTTTGACCCGTGTGATCACCGCCCGTGACCTCACTTTTACTTACCCAACATTAGTTCATTACCAAGTGACCCACTGCCACTAAGCAGTTAATGCATCAATCAGACCGCGCTGAACTTGGCCCGCAAACTCACACAATTTAAAATGTTTAAATTGTTGACTATTTATATCAGTGCTCTGATATGATATTCATTTCCTGGGCAAATGCTTCATTTGGTAGATAATTAGGCACCTAAGCGTGCACTTTGTCTTTCTCAGTAGTTGTTGCATCCAGGAAGCAAACAACATGCCTTGCCGCTTCCCCTCGTCTCAGGAACACTAAGTTTGCCCATGGCAGGTAGTAAGATATGCTTGGTTAGGTTAAGTTATGTTGGGTTAAATTTATATATAACCACTTTTAACACTTTTGCCCAAACTATGACAGTGTCCACCATAAAATAAATGTGAAATTGAGGCATATTTAAAATCGTTTTCTATGAAAAATCAGTGGCGGGTCAGTCAGCAATAATTACCCCTCCTACATATTTCCAGAAACATGACATGGTAAAATTATCGTTTCAGTCATCCACCTATTTGGAGGTTAATGATTATATTTTTATGATGGTTTTTGAAATTCATTTCTACAGCAAATCACTGCTTTTGAGCTATCCCCCCATATTCAACGGTAATGGGGGACCCCAATTGGAACCAGGGATTTTGGGTGGGGAAAATCACAAAAAGTAGTAATTTTCAATAGAAATGAAGATCAGAATCATTCAACACAGAAAACCATAGGAAAACATAATTTCAACCTAACATAACTGGTAAAAATAGGTCACAGCACTGCTTCTCAAATGGGTCAATTTATAGTACTGTATCACACTGGTCTTATTTCGATATTAAAATTATTGTTTATCCTATGTATTTTGATGAGTTTCGAACAAATTTGATATTCATTTCCACCGGAATTCATGTTTTTTTTTAGATGCCATCCCTTCCCCCACCCAACAATCATAACGGAAAAAGCTGGATTTCTTTTTTAGAATAAATAACAAATTATATTACCAACCAACCAAGAAAACATAATCTAACCTAACTCGTTCATCCCCCAGACGCTTAAAGAGCGAAGACAATGGCCTGGAGCGACACTGGTGACCGAGTGTAAGTAGTAATCTTGAAAAATTAATATTTCGGTTATCCTTAATTTCCGATGGAAATATCATAAAAGAAAAATATCTTAGAATTGTGTAAACATTATGAGATACATATTTTAAATACGGAAATAAAGACTGGTGTGATACTATAAATTCAACCTTAAATGCAACCGGTGGCTTAAAATTCTAAAACTCATTGGGTGACATGACTCACCCTGCAGCCTTTGGTGTGAGGGAGGGTGTCAGTTGACGGGTTTCAAAACACAGGATTTTTCTCAAGTTTCTTGTGCTTCTAATAGGTCTGCATCCCCTTATTAGACTTTAGGTAAACTGACAATGGCGAATCAACAACAAAAACACTAGTGACAGAAATGTTTAGTTTACTAACCTGTCACGAGCGATACAAGGTGTTGATGTTAGTCAAGTACCACGAACAAGTCTGCACTTTACATTTTTTTTTTAACATTTTATCCTCTTCGCCACTGATCGGCTCGTTAGCCGCTTGGGCGATCGGTCCCGTCTCTGTTATGCACTGTTAGCAAGTACTGAAGTACTGAATGTATCTGAACCTGCTCCAGTGCTTGTCAAGTCTGGTCTTGAAAGGCCTCACATTCGGTGTCGCCACAACACACTCTGGCAGGTTGTTCCACAAGTTCACAACTCTCACTCCGAAAAATTTACCCCTCAGTTTTCTGAGCTTGGGCTTCTTCAACCTTGAGCTGTGACCCCTTGTGGGGCGAGCGTCCACCAGCTCAGGTAAGTGCCCCCCCCCCCTCCCCCCCAAAAAAGGCACTCGACTGAGTAGTGCCCCTTTGAGATGCTTATACACCTCAATTAGGTCTCCCCTTCCCCGTCTGTAGTTTAAACTAGGCAAGTTCAGGCGCTTCAATCTCTCAGGGTGGCCGAGGTGCCGTAGTGCAGGCACATGTCTGGTAACCCTCCTTTGGACATTTTCAATCAACTGACAGTCCCTAGTATATCTCGGGGACCAGACGGGGTGACAGTACTCCAGATGGGGAAGCACTTCACTAATGAAGATCGTTACGACCTTCTTATAAAACCTAATATTTTAGTTGCCTGATATACCTTCTTTTCGCAATGGCCCGAGAACTTCAGCTCATTGGAAACATACACACCTAAGTCCTTTTCACATTCCGTCTCAATTAATGCAGTTTCTTCGTCCCGCCTCCTTACCTTTGGTACGTCCCAGGTGCATCCTCTACACTTCGTGACATTGAATCTTAGCAGCCATTTCTTCGACCATTCTTGGAGCTCACAGAGATCCTTTTGCAGCTCTTCGCAGTCTGTTTGGTTCTTAATTTCCCGAAATAACTTGGCGTCATCCGAAAACATTTGTATGGAGGAATGTACAGCGTCAGGCATGTCATTTATGAAGCAAACAAACAACAGCGGGCCCAATACACTGCCCTGTGGTACCCCGCTTGTGATGGGTAAACATGATGATTTCGTGCCATTAATTACCACACACTGCTTGCGGTCATGGAGAAAGTCCACCGATCCACGCTAGGAGATTTCCCCGAATCCCGTACCCTTCCAGTTTAATTTTCTGCCTTTCGTGGGGTACTCTGTTGAAAGCCTTGGCAAAATCTTGGTATATATTTTCGATATTACATTAATTCAGATTTTTTTCTTCCGTATACCATTTTTTTTAGTAACGCCGTCGTACAATTTCACAATGGTTTAACGTGTATACATACTGCACAGAGAAGATAGAAAAAAACTGTAACTACACTTAAAATCAACCAAAGTGATAGTCTCCATTAAGGGATATCGTCATACTAGACAACGTCATTACATAGAACACGGAAGTGCTCATTAATGTCAACAAATTGCCCAATTGAACCTCTGTCCTGCGTGGCAGTGAGAAGTGATCCCACCCTCAGTGTCAAGACCTGACTGAATTACTCAGAATAGGTAAACTGTACTCCAAGCTTTATCAATAAATTTGTTTAACTAAAAAAAAAGCCCAATTGAGAGAGAGAGAGAGAGAGAGAGAGAGAGAGAGAGAGAGAGAGAGAGAGAGAGAGTTTTAAAACATTATATGAAAAAAAGAGAATACTAATTATAATTATGAATTCATAATTTGTGGAGCATAAGGAGTAGTGTACAGTGCTGTATTGTAGTAAAAACGTCTGGCATGAAAGTCCCCTGGACGACATCCGTCCCTAGTGATAAACAGAGAAATGCTTCTGACGTGCGCAGGCGAAAATTAACAACTACGCTTTGTCAGTTGTCACCCTTAATGGTTAGAGAGGGAGGTAGGATGATAGAAGGCAGAGGGAGTGACAAGGACGGGGTGAGGGTAGAGAGAAGGAGGAAGAGTGGGAGAGTGCGACGGGAAAAGTGAGGATTAGGGAGAATCATACGTATAACCATGGGAACCGGGATGGGGGAGGGGCAAGGATAAAAAAGTAAAAGTGCGTAGCGTAGTACTTAGCGATCACCCGACCTGCTAGCAAGTTGACAAGTGGCGTAGAGGTAAATAGTAGTTAAATATAGTGACTACTGATACAAGTGGTAGAATACAGTGACCTTCGCCATAACAGCTATTAGTACGAGTAGTAATAGAGAATAGCAACTACAATTTGGTAAAGATTGTTAAACATCTTCTCGAGTGACCTTGAGCTCTTAATTAATCCCACATGTCCACCTGGTGAATTAATGGCCCAACTGTAATTAACCAACAACCACAAAATGTGCACAGCTTTTTGGTCGGGAAAGTGGAGGGGAAGGTGTAGGGAAATTCTCTTTTTCACGTTCCGCCTGTTAGGGGAAATTCGTCCTCACTATGACATTACGAGAAAGTTTAATTGGTAAGACAAATTCACTTGATTAACCCTAGAGTTGTTTTTGGCTCACAGTGTATCTCGTAATAGGGCCGTTGTCTTAGGAACCAACAAACTAGAGGCGTAAGGATTATGTACTGATATCGGTACTTTATTAATACTGAAGTATGAGAGAAGCTACGCAAGATAATCATTAAACATATATAAGTTGTCAGCAACATATTTAGGATAATGGTGATCCTCTCAAATGTAAAGGTCCTACGAAGACCTTAACAGACCTTATTATCTAGCACTTGGTACTTACGTAGAGATAGAGAGAAAGAGAGAGAGTTGTGTATGTTTCAATGAGGTTCGACCACAGTAGTTAGGTGGGAGAGCCTGCAGCCTCCTGTACCTACGTCCCCAGGTTTCACCAAGTTCTCTCTGCCTGCCTACATCAGGAGCCGAGACTCTTCAACCATCATCACACCAGCTGGACTCCGTACCGTCAAGCCCGAGGTTATCGACGGACCACCGGACTGTGAAGGTTAGTTTGGGAGGTGTAGAGATGATGTTTGTATAGGGGTGACTACTGAAAAGGATCTCTGTCCTAATGGGCCCTAACTTAACTTAATTTAACCATATGAGCTGCAGTTATAATCGGTCCCCAGATATAATGGGTACTAATCCTGATGATTACATTAGGCTGCACTAATGAGTCTACTATGACTCAAGGCTATTTGATACAAAATCTCGTCGTGGGTACAGTAGGCTATGTATTCAAAGTGCACAGTATCTAAATTGTAACAGGAATGTCTCAGGCCTGATTTAAATGGGGAGACTGTTACTGTACAGCAAGTGTCTGGTTACTGACCATTAGGTCTAACAAAATGAACACATCAATAGTGTAAGTTGATGAACTTGTGGATATCTAAAACATTTAGTGAAAGGATTTATGACTCTTCAAGAACACGTAAGGTTGTTCCAATCATGGCTATGAGATATTCCACCTGTTAACATCTATGTAACTAGTTGTGGGTTGTCAGGTAATCTCATTTGCTAGCCACCTTCATGTGCTAGCTAGCGAGTCTGTCAAGTTATTACACAGATACTTGAAGTACTGCTGAGTATGCGTTGAGTCACAAGCAGTAAAGCATTGAGTTTATATTGGCTTCCTCACCAGCTGGCACCTTATAAATTGGCTATGAATAATTGGTAATCCATCAGTTCAGGAACTCTTGTAACTGCTTTGTAGTTTCAGTTTGAGTTGGAGTTACTTGTAATCCCTGTTTGTAGTTGTTCCACAGTACTTAATGTTCACACAAACACTATATGGCTTTCTTATTTATTTACCAAAATATATGTACACTATATTATCATTATGAAGGATTAACCGATGAGAGGCAACTGTCACCGAGCGAGAGTTTAAGTCGACTGAAGGCTGTGTTTAAACCAGAGGTGAGTGAAGGATGAGGGAATGTCTTGCAGCACTAGAAAATGATAAGTTATACATAGTTTGTTTGTCTAATTAATTACAATATGTACACTAGATAGTCCACATTTGTATAAGTACTAGTGTCTATATGTCGACAGAGGCTCCACCACACTGATGATAAACCACACTAATATTACCTGTGGGAATTGGGTTTGGTTAAGTTACATTAAGTTAGGTTAGTTTATAGGTTGTTAGGTACGATTAGGGTGGTTAAGTTTGGTTAGGTTAGCGTTAGGGTGGTTAAGTTTGGTTAGGTTTGCGTTAGGGTGGTTAAGAGTGGTTAGGTTAGCGTTAGGGTGGTTAATTCTCAGGTGATCCAACTCCTACAAGGGCCTCAAAAAACATTAAATCTGGATATTTCGAAGTAGTTTATTTATGTCTTAAGAGATCAATAGTGTAGTTTCCTCGAGCGCTGTTCAACACTCATAATAACAACTCCCACAACGGCGGGTCCAAACAGCGAGTAACAGTGGTTCCAAACAGCGAGTAACAGTGGGTCCTTTAAGCGAGTAACAGTGGGTCCTAACAGCGAGTAACGGCGGGTCCTAACAGCGAGTAACAGTGGGTCCAAACAGCAGTAACGGCGGGTCCTAACAGCGAGTAACAGTGGGTCCAAACAGCGAGTAACAGTGTCCTTTAAGCGAGTAACAGTGGTCCAAACAGCGAGTAACAGTGGGTCCTTTAAGCGAGTAACAGTGGGTCCTAACAGCGAGTAACGGCGGGTCCTAACAGCGAGTAACAGTGGGTCCAAACAGCGAGTAACAGTGGGTCAAACAGCGAGTAACCAAACAGCGAGTAACAGTGGGTCCAAACAGCGAGTAACAGTGGGTCCTAACAGCGAGTAACAGTGGGTCCAAACAGCAGTAACAGTCCAAACAGCGAGTAACAGTGGGTCCAAACAGCGAGTAACAGTGGTTCCAAACAGCAGTAACAGTGGTCCAAACGAGTAACAGTGGGCGAGTAACAGCGGGTCCTAACAGCGAGTAACAGTGAGTCCTAACAGCGAGTAACAGTGAGTCCTAACAGCGAGTAACAGTGGTCCTAACAGCGAGTAAAAGTGCCATCAACTTTTCGAGCTGTTTGAGACGTTGACACTAAAATCTTTACTACACTGTAAAAAAAAAAAGATATTGTAAAGGTGTTTTATAAGGTATTTTCCCG